CTTCAGTGTTCCTGATTCGTTCGTCTTATTTCCACCTTAGTTCTTCTGTTACAGTTTGAGAGTACGAGTGCCTACCGATTGAGCATTACAGGCGTGGAAGAGTAAAGATTGTTCATGGAGCCTTAACCGGCGTGAACGCTTATACACGACACAAGAATCTAAAGTCGAAGTTGAAATCCAGTTTCCTTGATGATGATGTGCTCGGTGGCGACCCGGACGACGTTTTTGATGACCTGTGTTCGCTAAAGGATGCACTGCGGGACTGTGCACTGCTGCTGAACTTAAGTAAATGCGAACTAATTGTTCTGGGAGGTTCGGAAGAAGACAAAGGAAAGGTGACAGCTGCATTCCTTGATGTGTTTCCTGATCTACAGTGTCCCAAATTACACGAGCTACACTATCTGGGTGCACCGCTACACGACGATGTTACGGCGGGAGCTATTGTTAATGCGACAGAGGTTGCAGAAAAAATGACGCAACGCTTGCAAATGTTACCAGCACACCAGGCGTTGTACCTCTAAAGATGCAGCATGGGACCAGTCAGAATGACGTATAAACTACGTACGGGTCGATGCTACATGCATAGCGGCCTTTTGCAAACATTCGACGCGGTAATCCGGGAATGACTTTGCACGATTACAAACGTTGCCAACACGGACCACATGTGGACGCAGGCATCCCTGCCGATCTCCGAGGGCGGTCTTGGAATCCGCAGCATTGAGAAGCTAGCCCTTCCGGCCTTTTTGGCCTCGGCTTACTCAATCGCGACGCTGGCATCCGAGACTGCGGACTTTCACCCTGATGAGTACTGCAGCGCGGCAGTAGAGCAATGGCAGGCAATTACAAAAAGGGATGCGCCGGATGTCAATATTCGCAACCTTCAGAAAGTGTGGGATGAACCTCTAATCGCGGAAGCTGTGGAAATGTTGCGGGTTGAAGCCCAGGATGACCTATCCAGTCAAGCTCGGCTGCGCGGCGTAAGAACAAAAGAGAATGGGGCTTGGCTAGAGGCGTTACCGGCAGCATCACTTGGAAACCTGCTGACAGATTCTGCCCTGAGAATCGCTGTTGGGCTACGCCTTAGAGCTGCTATCGTCACTCCGCACCGTTGCATCTGCGGGAACTGGGTGGACGCCCGAGGCTACCATGGCCTCAGCTGCAAGAAAAGTCGAGGCAGGAAGCCCAGACACAGCAGCTTGAATGCTGTCTGTAAACGAGCATTCGCATCAGCCGGAATTGAAACAGAGCTTGAACCAGTGGGCTTATGTCGAACGAATGGCCAACGCCCGGATGGCGTTACGTTAGCACCGTGGGAAAGAGAAGAGGAAGAATGCTGACGTGAGATGTCACCTGCGTCTGTACGGTGGCATTATCGCATATCGTGGCAACATCCGAGCGAGCTGGAGCAGCGGCGGCAAAGGCTGAACAGGATAAGGTAACCAACTACCAGAACATCACCCCGGACTACCTGTACGCCGCTCTGGGCTTTGAAACGCTAGGACCAAACGGACCGGAAGCTTCCCGTCTGCTGACGGAAGTGGGTAGAAGGGTACGGCAAAAAACTGGCGAGGCAAGAGCACCGGAATACCTGCGCCAGCGTATCAGCTTGGAAATCCAGCGCGGGAACGCGGCCTCCGTTCAGGGAACAGCCCCACCGGGAGCAAATTTAGATCAGTTGTTCTCTGTTCTTAGACCTCCCGAGGCTGTTTTCTGCTGATTGAGTGTACTGCCTTGTGATGTTAACGTTGTGTACAAGCTAAATGTACAAGAACAATAAAAATGAGCACCAAAACCAGTAAATTTTCCGTGATAAATACGTCTGATTGTTCTGTACAAACTTCGTTGTAAAGAGATATTTACAGCTTGTTTACTTCTGGACGATAAACAGGCCTGATCTGCAATAGTCTGTAGACCGCACATAATTCGATGGAGCGAAATAATACCATTACAATGTGAAACGCCTGTTGCATGATTTCCGGTCAGGAGAAGTACCTCAGCGCTGCGTTGCGCAAGTAAATAATGCTGAAATAATAGAAAATCCCATAAAGATACAAATATGTATGAAGTAAAGAATATGCCCATTTTGTTACACTTTGCAGTTATGCACAATGAGAAAACCGAAAACAGTGGGCAGCAAGTAGCGCCATGGCAGCAGTACTGATCCAGTAGGTTCGTAAATGTAATTTTCCGCTGTTTCTGAGTGCAATGTCCATTTCTTAACAGTTTCTTTACTATTTTGACGACCACACAGAAGCGCGTAGCCAACAGCTACCGCGTTTCGTTGGACAAAATTATCACGAACCAGAACAACGGTGTGGCCGACGGACAACTGAAAGGACTGTGCATGCCAGCTGGAGGACCGCCAAGAGCAAAGCCAAAATCACCGCGCCGTCAAATGATAATTCCTGTTTGACAATTTTTTTGACATTCTTCTCTCTGGTTACGGCCGCAGTGAAGCCGTTTCGTGTATGGGAAATGGTTCTTTTTACTTGTAAGGCGAATTGTCCTTTTTTTCCACGCGTGCTCACTGTCGACAGAATGCGATTATACGTCTGATTAATTTTTATCCCAATTGATTCTGATTGTTCGCGGCTGGGTTTGTAACGGGAGATTTGATCGTGTCGCAGCAACAGTAGTAATTCCTGATTTGGCGACGCAATGAGTTAATGGAATTTTTATGAAATTTTCTGTGTGGTATGTACCGAAATTGAAATTTTTTCGACCCGACAGTAGGGGTGTTTCTTTAGGATGTTGTATTGTGGTGAGCGGGATGACTCAGGTGAGCACAGCAACACATTGGAAATCGCAATGCTTGGTCTGCTCAAAAGTCAGTTAAGCTTTGATTTGAATTTTTTTGCAAACTTGGTAAATTTTGAAAAATTATTCGCTGAATTAAGTACTTATCAACAATATTATTAGGTTCGATTCAGTTTTTTTAGTCTTGTAGACTATGATGTTGTCACAGGAATACTACAGTTTTCAAAAACGCTTACGCTCACGCTTTTTGTACGGAACTATTACCGTATTAGAATCCGATCATCTTTGCAAAATCTGATGCCTATCCTCGTTGTTTTACGGCACGGAACAAGGCATAATATTATGTAACATACAGTATCCGAAGCCGGTCTGTTCGTCGAAGTGGTGTCGTAGTGCAAGGGCGTAATGGTATTTTACCAAATTGTCGGCATTTCGCTATTTCTCAGTTAAACGCACTGTATTAATTTGGTTGCTTGGATAAAACTTTAAAGTAACAATTTTTTAAAACCAATAATTTTATTAAAATTCGTACCCGGTTTAAAACACGACGTTGCGCGTAAATTTGCTTACTTTGCCAATGAGGTCACTCAATCAAATGAAATAAATAAAATAACATTTTATCTGTCATAAGACTCATAACACAACTTCAGATAAGGTTGAGTAAATGTTAGTTTGTCGTAGTAAAGCAGCATCGTAAGTTTAAATCGGTTCTGTCGTATCGGCTCAGTTCGGAAGCTTTTAGCCTAATATTTAAATTTGGTGGCACACTGCAAATTACGTTGGAATTTTTTCTCGACGTGTGCGCTTAGCCGATTAAAATTTAATTGCAAATGGCATTTCATTTGATGATAATCGATAACACGACGGTATGCACTGGTCAGTGCTTGTTTGCACAACATAAAATGGATGATGCAGCCGTTGAGCTGTTGCCATTTCGAGGGGATAAAGTAACCTTTCTGCAGTAATTAATTTATTACGGTGAACGCTTTCACTTACTTCCACTTCTTTGTACTTTATTGCAGAGCCTTTTAACTTCCAAAAACGAACCGAGAAAAGGCTGTTCGTGTACTGAAAAGAATTGTAACCTAACCGTACTTATAACCTAACCGTCCTTACAACACGATTTTTTTCTTGCGTCTGTTTTATTGAAAGTCTGAATAATAAAAGTCGCACCCTCTTCCTGTTTTCAGTTGATTTTTTTCGACTGCATACACACTGCTAACAAACTGCCATAATGACACAGAACGTCAAATAATTAGTGAGGTAAGTTCTGAAAGGTCGGTAGAATGCTTGCCACGGCTGCCACACCGCTGAAAAATAAGGAGGAGAAAACACCAATGAAACAATTTTTTGTTACCGGCAAGAGTAACATAACATAACGTTGAGGGTAACATTTCGGGTTTAGCAGCGGAGAACAGCGCTTGTCGAATGACGATTAACGATTTCAACGTTTTTTCTTCTCCTACATTCCGTTATTAGTTTTATGGCACACAAACTTAAATACACCAGTACAGTAAATAAATTCTTCTCTGCAAGACCGTGTAATTTTTATACCGCCACAACCGACATCTCACAATATGCACCGAAACAGGAAATCCCGAAAACCGACATATAGGGATACAAGCAAACATTCTTCGCGATTTAGATACAATACACAATTTTTTCCGTTGATACAGTATGTGTGATTAGTTTGTTTCCATCTTTTTCGATGGCAAAACTGCCACCTGAGATGCTACTGGCTCAAACTCAAAACATAATAATTAGACGCGAGGGATATTTAAAAAGTACAGCGGTAAATAAGCATAATATATAATATTAAACACCCGGGCGCAGCCAGCCGCGGTTTACAGTATATGCGGTAAGTTGAAGATGTTTGTCTGCGCACACACAGTCCCTGATACCCGTAATTATTTACAAGCAGCGATACTGCAATTAATCATCACACCGTGCGTTCCAAAAATATGCAGTGCCACATAAGCAGCTGCAGAAATCGCAATGAAAACAGGACGTTCTTGATGTTATCAACTGGTACGGTGTGCTAGCCGGCTACATGCGCGGCTCACACACCCAGAAAAACTGGTATAGTTGTCGTATACAGAATGATACAAAGTTGTCGTACATACTCCGATACTCGTAAGTACTTCATAGTATCATACCAGCAACCGGCAACCAGCAACCAGCAACACGCTCTTCAGCTTTAACCTGGTACGAGAGTTTTGCTTTTCTTTTGCTGCTGTGTCATTGACAAGTTCAAACATAACTGACTGCGCATACCCGGCGCACCAATTGTTTTCGTTTTTTTATCGTAGTAAAAATCCACCAATCCCCTTGATTGCGGCTAGTATCAGGAAGAAAATTTGGACAGCAGGGATCGGTTAGCAGGAGCTTTCTCTGACCAGATCTGCAGAAACGGTCCGTTCTCGGTTTATCAATTATCAGCACTTGAATTAATTCTTATTACTTCTACCATTTTTATTTTCCAACGACTTACGAATTTTCGTGTTCAAAATTTCCTACAAGGCTGCAGCTGCGACAGTAAAATTTATTTCACAGGCACTTCCATTCTTGTCTATATTAATTTTATGTTTTATAAGCAGGCGCAGGCAGGATCATGAATACCGAGAATTTTGAACTAAAACCACCAGCTGAGAATGCAACGGTTATCACCATCGTACCGGTGGAGAATGCTCAAGGCCTTGTGCCATCGACTAGTGCAGGCGAAGCGGAAACTAGCTACTCTACAGACTCTGAATCTGATAATGAAAGCCATGGATTATTAGCAGAACATTCTGGTTTGGAAGGTGTAGTAGTACATTCACCGGGTTCTCAAGATTCTCCTGAGACTGAGGGACAAACTTTGCGGCGCAGACATAGACCAGCAGAAAGCGATCGTAGCGATCGTAGCGATTCGTCTTTCCAAGTGACTGTGATGAAAACTTCGGCTGCAGAATTCATTGTGTCATGCGATCTGTTGGAAGAAAACCATTTCTGTGACGATTTGGACGAAACTGCGTTGGCATTAGTAAAGAGATCTGCTCTTGTGCTTGTGGAGATAATATGCACTAATGCTTTACGCCTATGGTACTATATAAACATATTTATCAGGAATGCGAAGATTGCTTGCATTGCCCTAATCGAACGTCTGCTTCGACTGACCATACATGATCTTTTTCGATATACTACTGAGTTTGTTTTGGACGCGTATGATCAAATCGGGCACTATTTCCTGGGGTTTCCGGATCCCTATTTTGCCAGTACGCCATTTCGGCAATGGTTTCGTTTAATCGTCGGGTTTGGAACCTTTACATTTACCCTGCCAATATTGGATGTGGGTTCCGATATTCTGTTCATTCGGAATCTTTGGTCGGATACAAATTGCTACATGAATCCGCAACTGTTGATGTTGATCACACTAGTGCCTTTTTTTCCGCTTATATTCTCCTTTGTAACGGAAATTTTCAGTGTGCATGTGGACTGGGCGGAAGCTTCTGCCGAGAACTGGCGGCTCGCTCAAGGACAGCTTATCAAGTTGCCGGACCCGCACCTTCTTTCAAAACGAATTGTTAACGATGGCTCATGGAGCGGTTTACTCCAGGAAAGCCAAAGCGAGACGTTTAAAAACCGGGTTAAAGAGAATGTATTTCCTTTCGAATTTTTTGTTCGGTAAGTCAGCTGTCTCAGCTTGTCTGCAACAAGCTTAAGAATGGCCATGAAGTAAGTGCCTTTTAATAATGGCAAAACCGTACGGCACTGGAAGATTCGATTTCGGAGGAAGCTTCCAATTCGAAAATACAGTAGTCGGCAAGACATCCCGAACGGAGAGTCAGGAGACAATTCGTCGCGAGGTGGTTTCGACGGCGGGACAATTCATCGCGAGACTGTTTTTCGAATACACACCCTAACCATCCGACAAAATAACATTATTGATAGAAAAACACAAGAACACAAGAAAATTTAAGAAACATAAGTAAAATAGAAGAAAATCACAGAACCAAAAATGCCCTTGAAAAAAATAATAAGACATAAGAAACCTAAGAACGGAATTGAGAAAACGTGAAAATTAAGCGTATAAATTTCCTTTGCGGTGATTTGTCTGCGACCAGAGGTTCTGCGTCAAAATGTCGCAAGGGCAAGATGTGTCAAAGTAACATGTCATAAACCTAAATAATAATCCCAGCGTCTGTATAGTAGTATATCCCGCGTCGAATTTGAGTTTTGTGAAATGTTACCCACCCGTGACCCAAATGTCTGGCTGCGTATGCGAAGTGCGGCTTGTGGTTCCGCTACCCGCTTTTCAACATGCTACAGTCATGTATTCCACTGGACCACTTGTATGCTGCTTGTCTGGTTAAGAACATTTACATTCTTACGAAACGAAGATTACGACTACGTAATATGGCTTAAATACGGCAAGGCATTACTACATGGATTTTTGGTACTCGTCTAATTTGTACTCGGTGAGATTGTTCCATTAATTTTAACGTTATCTAACTGCCTCCAGCGGGCCAACTAGCACACTCCCGCATTAGACTTTAAAGCTGCAGCTGTGCAGAATCTCGGCATGTTGATGACTAATTTAAGATCTGTTTTGGTGGTTTCTGCTTAGCTGCTGGTTGTTTTTCCAAACGTGGAGAAATGGTGCCCATAATGGAAAGGATTCCCGATACAAAGAGGAAAACGATCTGGAATTTCATGATATGCACCTTCAAGGGGCTCAGCTAAAAGAGATCAGATACGAATCCAGTATCCAGTTAATCATACTGTTGATTTTAATGGGGACCGGTACCCAGCCATTTTCCTATACAGGTTGCGCTTCCGTTGTCATGTCATTGTTGTCCGTTGCGAAATATTTCCCTTCTTCGGCGCAATTGCCCGAACGCTTCGCATTTAGCAGGAGTTTACTTATGGAGCGGGACTGCATTGGCTTTATGGAGGCCAATCAGCTGCTTCCGCCCAGTTTGGTCCTGTTATATGGAACCCTTAGCAACTTCCTTTATATCGTGTGCCGCTATCACGTAATAATTTCTTTGGCAGTTTATAACTGGCAGGCCGGACTCATGCTCATTGCTCTGCAGACTGTCATCGTAACTGCGTCCCTGATACTGTCCTACCTTCTACTGCCTTCTGATTCGTTCAGAATGCGCCGAATTAAGGGCAGCTGGATTGCAAAATACAAACAAAGATATCCGTGGCGTAGAAAGATCGGCAACGTCGTCGCATTTGTTGGGTGTTCGCTCAATATTTTATTTTATTTCCTTATTGCACCGGTTACCACAACCGTGACAATGTGGGGCTGCGTGCTGGGAACTGCACTGCAAGCAGTCGCTTTAGTGGCGTATTTTTTTGTGGTGCATTTTGAGTGGCGAAACAACATTTACTGCCGCGAAGAAGTTCCCCGTATTGGACAGTTTCTGCAGTCAGCTCCGGTTTTTCATAGACTGCTTATTACTAATATTCTTCTATCCTGTGTATTACTGCCAAGCTGCACATATGCGCTGAATGTGGCTGCGCGCAACGCGGAGAACTGGTGGATCCTCCATAGGCAAACTTGCACGCAGTGCAAAGGTAAGAAATTACGGAACGCAGCATGCAAACGGAATTTGTGCTTAAATGTGCAGATATTTCTGCACGTTATTACAACAAGACACTCAGACCTCTCAAAGAGGGTTGCTGTTAAATGGCCCTCGTAGCTAAACAGACTGTTCTGTGCTAGTGGTGTTGCACAGTTTAAGGAAAGGTCAATCAAACGATCACAACGCACGAAAGTAGGACTCACAATAACAACTCACAATAGGACTCACAATCACAATCACAACTTATTTATTGTTAAGAGGTGATACTCCTTTAATTATCATTAAAAATTTAACAGTTTACCGCATCAACTCAAACGCATTGCATCAGTGTGGTAAGCCACACTGATCAAAACAACACATGTAACGCTGTACGCTTCTGTATCTATCGTATGTACCTTGTTTTAAACCGTGTAACTGTATATTTTGCCGCATTATCGTTGACAGTTAGTTATTTGGCTAACTTGGCTCCTGTGCAGAAATTTAAGTCCTACAGTACAGTAAAACCCCTCGTTACGTACACCCTTATATAGGGGGCAAAACTAAGCATCTTCCACCGTTTCCGGCTACTACTGATTTTAGCCGGCTGGTGGTTTACGTTGTGGATTGACAGTGTATTATGTAAAGCGCCGCTATTAAGAAATTCAGGTGTGGACGGTACATGTGGTATTCACCGCATCGTATTAATTTATGTACAGCAAATGCATGTACAACATAATAAACATAAAATTTCAACATTAAATTATCAAACGCACGATTAACTCAACAACATCATAACGGCGAAAATAAACAACACAACTCTGACATCCGGGCAAAGCATAGCTCTACCAAATTAAATTCTGTGAGTTAGAGCTTCGAAACAAGCTTGATCACAATGTAGCTTAATTACAATTAATAAAACAAAATCTTTGGCCAGATCTCCAACACATAGAACCATAAAATCTCTGATAAACCTCTGTCACGGGTTTTTAAAATATCTGCCTTTTGTGCTGATTCTGGCACCGCGGTTTTTAATAACTGCTTCGATGCGTCCTGGAAGACTGCCGTAAAGTTTCTCGAAACTGATCTTGTCCGTCACGTACTGCCAGGACTCCAACACGTACTTGCGCAGCTCATCTGCTGTTCTTGGGGAATAGCGTTTGTTCATGTATTCTTTCATAATACTCCACACATTTTCTAATGGGTTAAGATCGGGAGATTTAGGGGGCCATATGGGAACTCGAACTTCTTCTCTTTTCAAGAAGTCCATTGTGTACTGCGCAGTGTGTGAGCTTGCTCCATCCTGCATGAACGTGACTGGGCCGTCTTCGCGCATTTCCTCCAGCACAGGAAAGAGCTCTTTACGCAGCATTTCGACATACTTTTCCTTGATAAATCGTCCACGGACTTTGAATAAATTCATCGGCCCAAGTCGCGAGATGCATCCCCAAAACACGAGGCCTATCTTTCTGTTGCTTCCAACAGGCATCTGCAGATCGTACTGGTATTCTGATTCGCCTTTCCGACGCCGCATCTAGAGATACCCAGGTTTGTCAGTACGTTCATGTTTGGTAGTGTTCATTTCGGTTCTGCTCTTTTGTTTCTGAAATACCAGTTTCTGACTGTAAGATAATTTATAGTTTTACCTGAACTTTATTCCCCACTAAGCGAAAACTAGACTCGTCCGAAAAGAGCCAGTAGTGAAAGTGCTTAGGATCTTTCCCCACTGCGACTCGCAGCCTGTGACAGTACTCCAGGCGCTTATTTTTGCTTCCGGAGACAACTTGTCCTGTACACGGGATGTCTTTTGAAAACCCGCAGCACGTATTCGTTTGCTGATCGTCTGTTTGCAGATGAAAACGGGCTGTGGACCTTCCCGTAGGATTTTCTGGATATCAGTATGGGTAATGGTTCGGTTCCTGCTCACCAGATCAATAATTTTTCGAACATGTGCAACAGATGTCTTTCGGTTTTTGAAGGCTTGTTAGGTGCTGATGGCTTTCTGTTACCGTCGGGAAGGAAATGTGTCAGCACGTAATGAACTCATTTTTTCACATGCCCGAATTCATCCCCGATATCGGAATATTGCTTTCCAATACTTTTCAGATAAAATACTCGCTGTACGATATATTTGTCGAACGGGAGCATACATATTACTGAAGGCATTGAAGCGAAATAATTATTATAACAGAATGATGTTGAGATTATCGAAATCAATAACACGCTCAACAACAGACAGAAGGCAGACAGATAAAAAAATACAAGAAACAGCCTCGGCTTCGCCTCCGCGTTTCTTGTGGTCCTTGGCCATGCTATTTGAATTTGAATGAATTTTTATTAGTATAACATCTATATTTCACCGAAACATTATCGGTACATGCAATAGGGCAAACAAGAATATACTATGAAAATCAGTGCATGATTCTCTCAACCTTGAAAGCATTTTCCTTGGCTGTACATACAGATAATTTCACGGTACCCCCTACCCGAAAAGAAAGCCGAAATATCAGTCTATAAGGTATGAAATTCGAAACAGTGATAGTGCACTGGATCACTAGTTCAGTGACTCGTCACTTAACTGGCTCTTTTCACTGGAAAGTGGTGTGTGCCCGGTGGTGTATGTCCGGTCAGTAGTGGTCGCTCGAGTACTTGTTTATCTAACCGGTTACGTTCGCCGGACAGTAGTGGTCGCTCGGGTGCCTAACGGACTCTGTGCAATCGACAGCAGCATGGTAGCTCAGTCACTGGTTAACCTAACGGGCTTCCTGCACCGAATAGCAGTGGTAGTTCGGTCACTCATGAACACTGTACAATAATGACAGCTTGGTCACTCGTTCACCTACCTACCGGCTCTCTGCACCGGAGAGAGTGGTAACTCGGTCACTCGTTCCCAAACGGGCTTTGTACACTGGCCAGTAGTGACAGCTCGGTCACCCACTCACCTCCCGGGCTCTGTGCACGGACAGTAGTGGTAGTTCAGCCACTCGTTCTCTAACGAGCTTTCTGCGCCGGATAGGAGTTAAAGCTCGGTCACTCGTATTACCTAACGGGCTTTCTGCGCCGGACAGTAGTGACAGCTTGGTCAACCGCTCACATAGCAATCCATAGTGGTAGTTCGGTCACCCACTGGGTTAGTTGGCTATTTTAACTATGCAGAATATAGTGGTATTTTGGTCACTCGCTGAACTAACGGGTTTGTGCACTGAACAGTGGCATTAGTTCGGTATATCACTGATTGAACAGACTAGCGGCGTCTGAGAAAGCGGCGTCCGAGAAAGAATCAGCGGCATGGTTGCACGCGTTACCGGCTGCAAGCTTGGGAACGGTGGTGAATGACGAACATGTTAGAATTGCCGTGGGATTACGATTTGGTTCGCCAATAGTGGCACCGCATGAATGCGCGGGATGCGGCTTCCAGGTAACTTCAGATGGCCACCACGGATTGTCCTGCCTGTGTAGCAAAGGTAGATGGAGCCAGCATTTGGAACTGAACAGTATACTGAAAAGGGGATGCGTAGCAGCGGGCATACCTTGCGAGTTGGAACCGAAAGGAATATTCAGAGAAAACGGAAAACGTCCAGACGGATTGACATTGGTGCCAGTGCGAGATGGAAAGCAGCTTGTATGGGACGCCACTTTTGCGGACACGTCAGCACAGTCGTACGTTAAACGGTCAGCAAGGGCAACGAGCGCAGCGGCACACCAAGCAGAATGCCGGAAGCGATACAACTATCGACAGCTGGGCGAAGAATACTGGTTCTATCCTTTTGCCGTGAAAACCCTGGGAGTGTTCGGCGAAGGAGCCAGAGAAATGGTCAGTTTCCTTGGATGGAAAACGAAGTAGAGGTCCGGGGAATGCAGATCCACGGCTTTTTTAAAGCAGCGTAATAGCCTCGCAATTATTAAAGGCAATGCGGCTGCCGTTTTAGGAACTTTACCGGACAAGAATAAACTGATGGATAATACTGATTTCGTTTGTTTTTTTAACAGTGCATTTTTGGCCGTAGTGATAGGAATAACGACTGTTATGTCGCGATAAGAACATCAATAAAGATTCATACTCGATTGAACAGACAATCCAAGTAGTGATAGTGTAGCGATATCTGCTTGGCCGGCACTTGTTTAGAAATTGTCCTCGATGACAACGTGGAGGGGAGTCGTTCTTGTCGTAATAACGGTCTGCTAATTACTTAAATCCATTCTGATATTTTAATTAGTGGAAAATACTTTCATTTTTTAACTATAATTTTTTGTTTACGCTCAATAACACGCTCAACAATAGACAGAAGGCAGACAGATATAAAAATATAGATGTAATATAACTTAAAACTCAATCCTTTTTTGAAAGTAGAACGAATAATTTACGTATGACCTTACATAAACAGCAACTTGCCTGTTTTTCATTGCCGTTTACCTGATACATTCAATCTTAACAACGGCGCTTTACATAAAGCACTGCCAAGCCACAACGTAAAGTGTAAGCCACCAGCCGGCTGACATCAGTAGTAGCCGGAAACGGTGGAAGAGGCCTAGTTTTGCCACCTATACAACATTCACCTCTTTATTATATACATGCGGCTGAGAACCAGACTGTTCGGTGGATTATAACACTTAGGGGCGGTTCTCTACATAACATTCACCCCTCTATAAGTACAACACACACCTTTCGTGGAACCGTGGACAATATACAACATACAGTCAACCCCTGCGTTACATACAGCTGGCTGAATAAGCGCAGAAGGGTCTCAATGAAAGTTCCGGTTTCTGTTTCAGATCTGTCCACAGTGTCCAGTACCAGATCTAACAGTGAAAACAGCAAAAAAGGCACTGAAAATTAATAGTTACCGGTTTATTCTCTAGCGTTAACTGCCAGTAATACGTTAGATTTTTGAAAAGGTATTGAAAACAGAAGCGCTGCGGAGTCATTTTTTGGAGGAATAACATGAATTTATAAACAAAACATCAGCGGCACCGTGCTTAGATGCTATCGACCAATATGTGGCCAGCCCCCTGGAGATAATGACCACCCCCAAGGGCAGTGCCCCTGTGTAACAAACACCTCTTTACAACATTCAGAGAGCTAAGAACGGAGGGTGTAGCGGAATTTTACTGTATATTGCGTCACTAAATCAGACTTAAATGGGGCAAAACCAAAGGAATAAAGATCTTGATTTAAGTTTATGGCTTTCTATTCACATACAGTTTGTATAGCTTTCGCTGATGCGGGTATCCTGAGAACCTCTCAGTTATGAGAATTCTGTGACCTCGTGCAAGCTAAACCTCTAGCTAAACCTCCGGCTGTCGCAGACATTATATTCCAAACACACGAATGTCATAATGCCACAGTACTTCGAATCCGCTCGTAAACCGATAACTTTTACTTCACGGTTCAGCAAGCGATCACTCGTGTTACGTTTATAAGATCGACAGTGCAGAATATGTTACTTGGTCAAACAGGTGCATAGTGAGCCAAATAACTAGAGTAGTTCACATTTGTTTTAGTCAGCACCCTCTTGTTAAGTTTTTCCTGATCGTTGCGGACGTAAAGTTTATAAAGCAAACAGAACAGCCAAGGGGTTACCCGCAATTTCGTCGACAAAAATTCGTCGACCGTCACTTCGTCGAACAGGCACAATGTCGACCCGTCACGACGTCGAACCAACGTTCAACTAAACCATCTCAGTTTTCTGAGGTTTTAGGTTTTTTTAGGTCCCTTAGGTTTTTTAAGGTTCTTAGCATTCTTGGGTTTCTTAGGGTTTCTTAGGTTTTCTGGTCGTCGCCCTCGTGACGGTAGACACTGTGTCGGTCGACGTAGTGTTAGTCGACGAAATGTCGGTGAGCCCAGTCAAGGTTGTTCAGTTATTCACAGTCAATAATATCACTATGCAGTCAGTGCAGTCAGTAATTATATAAGTTTCCTGTCTGTAGTCAAGTGGCGGCAGTGCGCCGAAAGCTGTAAGTTTTGATAAAGGTTTTGATTAAACATGTTCATTGTCTTTGTGTTCTTGTTCTACTTACCGGTTAGTATTACTTACCGGTTAGTATACAATTAACATGAGGTTAATATTTCTTGTAGGTTTTAAAGATCGGTTTTGCTCGCACCAACCATGCTGGCTTTGCGATTGGATTTGGTCTAACGAGAACGATAATCTAGAAAATTTCCAGATTATCAAACCGGTCCCGTTTCTATTAAATTACAAGGCCCCCAGCGCAACTTCCATAATAATACTGCAGGTTTTAGCTCTAACTGACGATGTAGAACGTGGCCGAAAGGGGGACATGCTGCTCTGCCACGACCACTACTCGCAACTTGTTATGATCAGACTTTGGTATCAAAATGCAGAAAGAGTGGCCCAGGATCGTATAGATTTGGATCGCGATCGCGTTTTATGGGATATTTCTGGTGACCGTTCCCTCCAGCTTTTTTTGATTCGTGTCCGTACTTGGGGACGCCAGTGCACAACCGATCTGCTGGAACATCTGTACACACCTGAAGGTGTACCATTGCAGTTATGGTTTAAAGCCAGATTGTATGACCAAATGAACGAGAGTGAGTGGATAAAAGAACGAGATTGTCTGGATATTTACTGGTTAAAGGCCAAGGAAATTCGACAGAACCATAGGTCATGCGGCCGTGAATGCGCACTCCGTCAAAGGTTTCTGGCGGGACGTTTGACCATTAACTTGGAGCCTTCAAAATCCATTACGAGCAACCTGCAGGATAAAGTTTTTACACTTTACAACAATTGCTCTTACTGTCGGAATTTCGCCAAATATTTCTTTCTCATAGACGAAAAAAGGGATGGATTTGGAAAATGTTGGTCTGCACGCCCTTGTCCTGGGATCGAATGATCAAGCAATTGTAGGGATTTATTAACAAACTTCCAGATGAAAGGAGGTCTGCACTGCTGCACATATCAAGTTTCAAAGCGTTCTGTCGCGAGAATGAACAATATCTGTTTTTTACTTGGTGTTGTTTTGTTGGCGGGAAGGTGGACGGGTGAATGGCGGACATTCAGTGAAATCGCATCCACCTTTCTGCCATCTCAGCAGCCAGCTGCATTCAGTGTTTGATTGTGTTTTCATACGTAACTTGTGAGTGATGAATGCATGTTTGCTGGTACTACTCTCTTATTGACAGACACGCTGGCGATGCACAGTAATAAAGCGGAAAGGCAATCTTGATAGTTAATAGTAGTTGATAGTTGATAGTTAATAGTTGATAGTTTTTAAAAAATCGAAGATTAGTGAAAGATGAAATCTAACATTACGCGTATTCCACAACAGGCAGACATTTAAAATGGCAGCATGATCAATCGGCGAGGCGGTACCGAGGGAGCTACGACTTCCCTTTGCTCCACCAACTGCTGGACTCTACGAAATTTTGATTGTTCGGCTCTGCCAAAGGCAGACGAAGTCATCTATCCATTTTTACTGTACGTGTGGAGTCAAAGCTGAATCCTAGATCCAAGTGACAAACCCCAGTGACAAACAAAAACACACATCCGAGAATTCGCCTATGTATCAGTAATATGTACTTAAACAATAAGCACACCGCATGTGAACAAACAAAACATCCGACTGGCAGTTACGGGTTGGGTAGTGGAGATAAAATTGTTGACACGGATTAGCATGAAGACAATTTTTTGCGCTTTTTTTCAAATCGAATGCTATTAAAAAACGTTATCCGTTACCAATCCTTGGCGTGCAGCGAGTCAAAAAGTATAGGACGGACAGGGCTTGTATTACATAATTGGGACATTACACGTACAATTTAAGTGACATGTGTATCCGAACAACATTTGAATTTTGCATCGAATTTAGGGTAACAGCTGCGCCCCGCATGACTTAACATACCACTATTCATCTGCCCGCCTTTTGCATTTCCTTTTTTAGTTGCCCTTTTCAGGTTTATTTTTGCCTTTGACGCCGTGATTACCTTCAACATCCCAGTTTACCGTTAGCAAGTACGGTTTCAAAAGTCTTTCTCGTTAATTATCGTTAAAAATAAGTTGATCATTTGACTCGTTTACAGCATTTTTGTGTTTCTGAGGTACTAGCATTAAATTTAAACAGGCATATGTACTGCATTGGCATTACTGCAACATATACATAGAAAAACTTACACAATTTTACTACTCCGATTAATCATTAAGTAACCTCACGAAAAAAAAAGGCTTTAATGTCGCACCTTTTTTGCAACGTACCGTACTCTTTTTAATAAAACAGCATTGAAAACCTTGTAACGTTATACGATTACATTACAACCCAGTACAGCATTACACTGCATAATTGTTAATTTGTTACTGCCAGCTAGCATTGTGATCCACTGTTACGCTGTATTACGTTGCAGTATTTAATTTTTTAACAGAACTATATTTAGTAAACTAATTTTCCACGGCGCACTGATAAAAAGTAATCAGTGCTGTATTTATAATCAAATCGTCGTTGTGAATGTATTTAACACCGAAAAAAGGTTGTAAAACGAAGGAAATTTCAATTTTCGGCACTGTACAACATTACAACAACATTACACCGTCTGATCTATGTAAACTGACGTTATCTCGGCCCATGCGTGCTCTTCGGTCTGTGTGCAGTAGTCATCTTGTTTGAGCTCTTTGTGTGGTACGTTCGTTTGTTTGCGTGTATAAGTGTGTTTGTATGTGTATGTGTAGATTTATCGCAGTTACAGTACAAGACCGCACATACCATTAAAGTTTGCTTCTGGCGTGTGCGGTATACACAGTACCGTAGGAAGTGTACAGCACACACTAGTACTATACACGCTCTCGAGTCTCGACACAGTCCTTAAAGCGTTACACAGCCAGAGATTGATGTTGTCTTCTGCAGGATCTTTTTGGCAGTCCGGGAGGAACGAGGTTTACCAGCTTAGTTAAAAAGAAGATTCACAAAAATGTGTATCGAATAAGTTTATTCACAATCGAAGGGGCGTATTAAAAAATCCAGTAATCTTTAGTTCAAGCGTTTATTTGAATTTTGATCATTTTACATAGTTCCGATACGAGTCGGAGTGATACCGAAGGTACGTAGAGTAGCAAAAACTAAACTAAACTAAACTAAATTAGAAATTGGTTGTAAGTTTTGATTGCTAAAACAGATTTCGCTAAATTTTTGAGTTCAGTTAACCTTTGGTGAGTACATTTTTTAGTGAATTAACTTAACCTGGCTACAGTTTTTACTATTTAAAAACTACTTAGTTTCTTGTTTTGTTGTTAAGCTGAACGAATAAAAGTTGTAAACTAGTGAGTTCAAAATATTACCATCGATGGAAATATGCTTTATAAAGGAACCAGAACTAACTTTATTTAGATATGGCCCATTTCGTACCACTCTAGAAAACCGACCCCCTTTTTTTGTTACTGTATTCCATGTAGCCTAAGTATTCCGGTTGTATTCCTACTGTATTCTCCGCTTCGAATATAACATGATTTCAGTGTTCTCTGCCAATTGGCCGGTATTCCTACGTATTCCGCCTGTATTCTGCCCAAATTCAAGGCGTATTCTAAGTTTTCTAATTCGGAAACCCAAGAATACATGGGGAATACAGGCGGAATACGGGAGAATACGAGGACACACTAAAGAAGACAACAGTCATGTCTGAATTAAAGCTATATAATGGAAACTCCCTCGCGAATACAGTAGAAATACAGGCAGAATACGGATGGAATACGTGGGAATACTGCTAAAGTCTAAAGGTACCTTAGTCATAGAGGCGAGGTTAATATATCTGTGGAGTGTGCCCGTATTCCCACGTATACTACCTGTATTCTGCCTGTATTCCTAAAGTATTTCCTAACTCACTTATCTAACCTCAGTGACTGCTGCCTTCCTGCAGCATATTAGCGCATTCCCACGTATTCAGCCAGTATTCACCACGTATTCCCTGTTCTAGATAAAATCTAAGTAGCCTAAGAAACCGAAGAATACACGGACAGCATACGGGGAGAATACGTAGGAATAAGGTATTTAATACGGCACAGGAAGACATAGTCAGCCGTACTTGCAAAAGCAAAATAATGGAGAACATAACGTCAATACAGACAGAGTACGTGTGGGATACATAGGAATACGTGGAATACAATCAACAAGAAAGGGGCCGATTTTATTGAGTGGTACGAAATGGGCCATAGGTGTAGATAAGAAAACTTTTAAATCTCTCCAGTACATTGCCAATATGAACAGCGACAGCGCCGTTAACGAAATCGCAGATCCTGGGTGCGAACCTGGAAAAAACCAATCGTCTGCTGTCTGGGATAACTTGCCCGAAGATTCAAATATCACTAACAGAGAAAACCAGCAACTATTTAACCACATCGAAACTGGAGTTAGCACTGAAGGGAGTAAAAGCCCTAATGCAGCAGACGTAACGCTTTACGAAGATGATTCTGGTGAAGTGGACTGGGACGGACCAGGTTTCCTCTCGTTTCTATGGCTTAATATTGTACACTCAATCTCGCATTTTTTGTGGGGGTTTCCTGAACTATTTTTTACTACTACTGGGTTTTGGAGATGGTTCCGTTTGATTGTCCATTTCGGTATATTCACTGTCGTTCTGGCTATAGCCGATACCATATGTTACGCATACGTTATTTGGAGCCTTTGGCTGGATTCCCCCTCTTCTCTTAATTCGTACATGCTAATGTTTATCACGGTAGTGCCGTTATTTCCTACCGCTGTTTCTGCCCTGGAGTTTTTAAACTTAGGAGATTGCGCAGTAGCCTCTTATCTTAACTGGCACCTGGCACGCCAAACATTAATTAAACTGGGCGACCCCACCGTGTTTTCCAAATGCCTTGCAAGGGACGAATCCGAAGAAGTTATGTTAGCGAAATGGGGTGACCCGACCGTAATCTCAAAATGCCTTGCAAACGATGAACCCGAGCAAAGAGTGCCAAAAATACTAGAGATCGGACTGATTACGCTCTTCCCATACCGGCCAAGGAAGAAATCTGAAGAATTTTTGTACACGTTACCGTACATGGAGCACCAATTCCTTCGGAATCCGTTCCTATGGCCAAGAAAACAGCTTCTTCCTATGGAATTCTTCGCTCGGTGAGCCTAAAAAAAGTATTGAGCTAATGACAGTTCTACACTGTAGTACTAGCAGGGTTAATTGCTTTCTTTTATAAACGCAAGGAAGTCTAATTATTGCCATTGTCACTGCAATCAAGATTTAAACTGAGAAACCAAGGTTTGAAGGAGGCGGTAATGCCATGCACTTACCTCTGGTGCTTCTGCATAAGGCAGGACAACCAACAGCAAAACGCATTGGTTCTTAAGCATTTCACAATAACCGGTCTCAGTGCTTCATACTGTATACGGGAAACGGCTTCGGCCTCCGCGTTTCTTGTGATCTGTGGTCGGTTCTCGAATGATTTTGAATAATATTACTGTGTGTATAATTTGCGATCACTATATGCACTAAACAGTGGTATTACTTCATTCCTTCACCACCTATCATGATTTACGCTCAAGAAAATAACGGTAATTTGGTTTCTCACTCTCGCTCCGGTCGATAATACGGATTACGGAATAATTTACGGACCGTATACGCTGATGAGGAGGGGATTCAGGATTGATTGTAAGGACAGACGGGACTCAGGATTGATTGTAATATAAGACCAGGGCTTATGAAGACCAGGACTAGGTCATTTGCATATTTAATATGTAAAAGTGTTTAAGTTGACAGTGGTGGAAGGGACGAGGTCTAACGGACCATAAAATATTAAATCCCAAAACAGATTTCTTTTAGGTTTCTTAATTTGAATAAACAAAATGTTCCCTTCACAGAATACTTGAAATTTCTAAAAGATCGGAATCGTTTCCTTGCTGCAGCTTTACAACGAAATCAGGGAAAATCGCTTTAGCCACGCCATCGAAGCCACCGCACTACACTACGAATCGAAGCCACTGCAGCCCATATGCGGCTGATACATGTGCATATTACCATAATGTCATAACACTGGGTGGCGTGCCTAAAGCGCTTTCGTCACTGATTTTCTTGCGTAGCAATTGCAAGAAAACGGTTCACGATTTTTTTAAAAATTTTTAAGTACTTTGTGAAGGGTATAGAATAGAAAATCGGTTTGTGGAATTCAGTATTTTATGTGGTCCACTTAAGCGACCATACTAGTACCGTAGTACATATCTCAAAACATATCAGCCGCTATAACTCGAAGCTCTCAGGTAATCGCCCATTATTAATATTCTTAGTCAGTCAGTTCCTAGCTCGATCGGGTATTATGAACGCGGGTATTATTTTTTCAATCCCTGTGTTCACACTGCAGATGCCGGATGTTTGTTCGAGCTTGGAAAGCCGATCTAAGCGTCTCACCATATACACCAAATAGGAACATCGAATATCAAGACATACATCTCCAAAACGTGCATTTGAAAGCAATAAAGTACGGATCAAGCATTCAGCTTGCCGTTCTGTTGCTGCTGACGATGACAGGAGCGCTTCCTCTTACAGTTGCAAGTGGGACGTCGGTGGCGTTATCGATCTTATCAATACTCAAATATTTCCCTTCGTGTGAGCAACTTCCTGGAAACTCTGCCTTTAGCAAGAGTCTTCTGCGCGAAAAGGAATTTATTACTTTATCTGAGGCAAACCAACTGCTGCAGCCAAACATGGCCATTATATATGGACTGCTGAACAATTTTTTGTACATGATATGTCGATATCATATCACCATGTTATTACTAGTGCAAAACTGGCAGGCTGCGTTTGGTGTAGCGCTGATACAATGCTCAGTTGTATCTGTTGTCGTAATTCGACGTTTCCGCCACCTAAAGTCACCGTATCAGATGCGTATTGTAACAAGGGAAAAGGATAATATTTATCGGCCAACAATCTGGCAAGCGTGGAAGAGAAAATCGACAACTGCTATGCTTTTTGCGACCAAATATCAGCGACTCTGTTTCATTTTGTATTGCTTCCGGTTTCCTCAACCACAACGAAAACTGGATGCCTGCTGGGTACTGTTCTACAAGCAGTTGCTATCCTTGGTTACCTTTTCGATGTTTGGTTAAACTCAAAAATAATGCCTGTCAAAGCCGAAAAGGAAACGCTTTACAGCGATCCCGCGCGTCAAATGTATGATCCTGTTTTCGACACCTTGCTCATTATCAACTGTGTCATATCTTTTGTGCTGCTGCCTTTGTCACATTTCAAACTGGACGGTTGCATTGATGCCGATCGGTGGATTCGTCATCGAAATAATTGCGGAAAATGTTCAGGTAACAGCGTGTGCTGCATTGCGTATAGATGTACGGTAACTTTCTCGAAAACGGTAAACTACCAGATTGAGCTGCTACCAGACTACCAGACTGACGAACACCGGTGGTACTTCCAGAGGTAACCCCGCTGTACTTCGATGTGTCTCATGGTCAGTAATGGATCATAGTGAGTATGTCGCCTGAAATAGGAGTTACGAGTACATTACTCCCTCAGTAGCGCAATACACGACGCAATGCAAAACACTTCACCAGCAAAACCAAACCTCGGCTCTAGCTTTCTTGCAAAATTTTAAATAATTCCTAAATACAGTATTTAAAACATGATTTCAAAACTTAAAAAAATTGTTGGAACTTTGAAATGGTGTAAAAACGACCTTCCTTCATTGTTACTGTAATGTGCGTTGTCATACGAAAATTGAAGCTAATCCGTTCATAATAAGACTACATCTACTGGTACACCTGATTACATTTAAGTTTTTTGGAATTTTCCAGCCGTAATTCCAGAACCGGATGTCGCGCACAAACGGTTTTTACGTCAAATGATACAAGTCAAATGTCTACCGAAAGTCACTTAAACAAAGTGTTTGAGCACGCGCAAAAATTTGGTACCATGTACCAGATTTGTGCGCATTATGGCAAAGCGAACCCATTGCGCGCTGTGCGGGTATAAGAAGCGTCTCTTAATTGGACCAAGCTCAAACTCTCACTCTGATTCTGACCACTCAAACTCTGACTTCTCCTACTCTGACTCTGACCGCAATCTTAGACCAGGTACTAAGGTTTCTTAGGTTATTCATATTTTTCCTAGGTTTCTTAGGTTATTCTTATTTGTTTTAATGTTTTTTGTGTATTTTTATCCATTCCTAGGCTGTCGAAGAGCAGTCTTAGGTATTCTTAGGTTTTAAGGTTTCTTAGGTATTTCTTAGGTATTTTTAATACCTAAGAAATCTGAGAATAGCTAAAGAAGAACCTAACAGAAACCTAGAAATCGAAGATACCTTAAGAAACCTAAGAAGAACCTAAGAAACCTAAGAATCTTATTTTGTTGTTGGTCAGTTTTGGTGATCAAAGTGTTGCGGTCGGAGTCAGATTTTGAGCGGTCAGAGTCAGCGTCAGATTTTGAGCAGTCAGAGTCAGAGTTTGAGTGGTCAGAGTTTGAGTCAGAGCTTGAGCGCGGGCGCTCTTAATTTAGCGACGATACAGTACTGGGGAGCTTCACTTGATTGTAGACAGTACAAGTATGGTCCCTGTCGTGTATGTGTACTTATGATTGGATATAAGTACTGAGAAGTACGTACTCATAAACATAGATTTGTTCACCACAACTCACTGCACACTGATCTCGATCTTAAGGTTACATGGAAACAGTGCCGACCGGTTGCTACGTGTCATGATATTATTATTATAATTACAATCCTCACTCCGCCGTTTCTTTTCCGTTTTTTGTCAAACATCTCCTCCTAGACCATTCGACATTTCTGCGTGCGCGATAGCTTAAAAAACGTCTAAATTCATGTAGTTTGGTTCAAAGGTTTTCGTTTTTCGTAAATCTCATTTTTGAAATTACGAAACTTTTTCGAAACGAATTCTGCTTATTGGCTGTATCAGAAAGTATTAACGGCGAATGGGCGGAAACAATTATTAATGCGGAAACCAAAACTATAGCAACACACCGTAATACCAACACATTATGAAAAGTGCGAAAGGTGGAATTCCACATTTACTGAATCAAACTGCAAATCCGACATGTTAACATTTTGTTTTTATATTTTGAAAACGAGTTTTGCATTTATTTTATTTTAATTTCGCTTAACGATTTTGATTATATTTTCTTATTATTTATTTCCAGTTCTTTAGACAACATCTCCTCCAAGACCATTCGCCGTTTCTCCATATTTCATTTATATATTTTTTTTATTCTCCATATTTTTTTTTATTCTCCATATTTTATTTCATTTATTCACATTTCATTTATAAATTTACAAAACTTTTTCGAAACGGATTTCGCCTATTGGCTGTGTCAGAAAGTGTTAATGGCGTACAGTTTTTTCGCCCATTAGACCCAGGAAGAGAGGTAGGGTTTCGCTGGTTAGACAGTGGGGATTGGACTGCCATCATTTAAACTAGGGACTAGGGATTTTCGCCGGTTAGACAGAGGGGAAAGGAATTTCGCCGCTTAGACAGAAGGGTAGGAATTTTTGCCGGTAGGCCAGAAAGAAAAAAAGTTTTGCCGATCAGACAAAAAAGGAAGGATTTTCACCGGCCAGACAAAGGAATAGGGATTTTCGCCGGTTAGACAGAGGAGAAGGAAATTTTGCCGGTTAGACAGAAGGTTAGGGATTTCTTAGATTTAGAAAAAAGAATTTTCGCCAGCCAGGCAAAAGGAGAGGGATTTTTGCCGGTTAACCAGTGAAGAAGGAAATTTCGCCGGTTAGACAAGGGGGTAAAAATATATAGTGCAGATAGTAAGTAGTTCATTGTATTACTATATAATTTTTCAAATTTCAGTACTTCTATTATTTTTATATTTTTAAAACCATAAACAAAATTCAATCCCCCTCAATTATCTTTCATTCGGCGGATCTTTTTTGACAACCAAGACTTGAGTGCTATTATATTTAATGTGTATATGCATTCCAGATCTCGGTTTTGCTGAACCGTTTAAAGCAAACTCCCATTCTGAGTATCCAAAATTCGACGTTTGCAAACCGAGGCCGGAGGCCGAGGGTTGCCTTGTAATTACAATCCTCACTCCGCCGTTTCTTTTCGTTTCTTTAACCAACATCTCCTCCTAGACCATACGCCACTTCTCCTTATGCCTTAGCTTAAAAACGTGTAAATTCATGTAGTTTGGTTCAAAGGTTTTCGTTTTTCGTGAGTTTCATTCTTAAAACAACGAAACTTTTTCGAAACGAATTTCGCCTATTGGCTGTTTCAGAAAGTATTAACGGCGAATTGGCGGAAGCAGTTATTATTGTGCAATAATGATATTCCGACGTTTTTCAGCCGAAATCTTCTCGTACACCATCCGACGCAGATTTTCGTACGATAGCTGAAAAAAGGCTAAAATCGTGTAGTAATAAATTCGTCGAACGACTTTCATTTTTTGATGTTTGTATCCGCCGAATTACTAAATGCGCCCAAAACGAATTTCGCTGATCGGCTTAACATTAGAAACTAACGTTTTTAATGGCTTAGCGTAAGAAATTATAAGCGGATTGGCGGAAATGCGAAAGGTTCGAACGCAAGTCGCTGCTTGATTGTTGCACTTTAAAGCAAAACTTTCTTAAAAACTTTGTACGATAGCTTAAAAACGTCTAAAAGGATGTAGTTTGTCTCAAAGACTGTTGTTTCCTAATCTTTTTGTCCTCCGAATTGCGAAACAGGTCTAAAACGATTTTTGCTAAATAGCTATTCGTTATTAATTAATAAAGTATTGGCGGAAATGCGAGAGTTTTCGAAAAAAAACCGCTGACTAAAACCATGCATTATAACATTACTAATATGGGCCAGAAACACATTTATTCGGAAAATATTGTGGAAGTACAGAGATGCGGAATGGCGTAACTTACAATGCTAGGAGTCAGTTTATGGGTGACAAACCTACTAAAGACTTTCGTTTTCTGATCTTTTCGTCTTCCGAATTACGAACTAAAGTCGAAGAACTCGCATAGTTCGTACCTACGATTTCGCTTTTTCAAATTCTCGTACTTCAGTAACAAAACATGTCCAAAATGGACTTTGCTGATTGGATTATCATAATTTCTTTAATAGTATTTGGAGACTTTCCCGAAACCGCTACCAACGTTACCTAAACATAAGCATGAATTTTCGTCCATTACAAAAAAAGGCGTAATTTACGCCGATTGGACAGTCGGGAAGGGATTTTCGCCGGTTAGACAGATGGGCGAAATTTTTGCCGATTAGACAAAGGGGGAGGGATTTTGCCGGTTAGTCAGTGCGGAAGTGAATTTCGTCAGTTAAACAGAAGTGAAAGGATTTTTGCCGGTTCGATAGAGGGGAAGAAATTTTCGCCGGCCAGACAAAGAGAAAGGGATTTTTGTCGGTTAGACAGTGAAGAGGGGACTTTCGCCAGTTAAACAGAGGGACAGAATTTTTTCCCAATCAGACAAAGAGGGGAGATTTTTCGCCACCCAGGCTAAGAGAAATGGATCTTTGCCGGTTAAACAGTGAAGAAATGAATTTCGCCGGTTAGACAAAAAGGTGAAAATATAAAAAACAGATAGTAGTAGTTCATTGTATTACAATAAAACTGTTTAAAATTCAGTACTTGTATTATATTTATATTATTAAAACCATAAACAAAATTCAATCTCTTTCAGTTAATCCTTCATCCGGCGGATCTTTCTTTGGCAACTAAGCCTTCAGTGCTATTTTATCTTCAATGTTTATAAGCAATCCGGATTTTGGTTTCGCTGATTCGTTTAACACTTCGTTGACTAGCAGTTTTGAGCAACGCGGCTGACTTTCGTGGTGGAAGTCACCAGAAGCCTCCTATTGGTCATTAAGATCTTCAAACCAGTCTTTCTTTTTGTTTTAAAGAGGTTTGACCAATAACATTGACCTTAAGACAAAAGAAATACACTCGCACCTGCGCCAGATTTACTGGCGATGAAAGAACTTGGGAACATCTTTTGATGAGATGTTCTGCTTATCTGCTAATTGCTCGCATGGCTTCGCATCTATTGTCTTTGCTTAGTCTACGCTGACCCGGATTCAACCTTTTATTGTCCTAGCGCTATGCGCGCGCACTTGATTGTTAGCTGCTCTGGTCGTTTTCCATGTATGCCTGTCAGTCGAACAGCGGCATCATTGGGCAGTCTTCCCAAACTTCCTAATGCGCCTGATTTTTTTGTAAGCCATCGGCAATACATACATCGCTCGAAATTTTACAGTAGCGTGCTAATACTGTTCAGTGCATGCAGGCCCGCCACAAGGTTTTTGGAAAGGGAGGGGGCGCAAGTGCGCCGGAGGGGCGGGCTGCCGGACTCAAAGTATGACGAAAAGTAACACGTGACACGTCGGCCAGCCTCGCCCCGCCCCCTTTCAGTACTTTAAATGCGCCCCCCCCGGCGGTCAAAAATCCGAAAAAGGGGGGCGCCCGCCGGTGCGCCCCCCCTTTCTGGCGGGCCTGAGTGCATGGCCTGATTTTTTCGACATCTTTCATTCACGCAATCGAGAGCTGTAACAGCTTGAATGTGAGTGTCCCAAAAGGATGGTGACTTCCACCATCCCAGTTCTGGACTTCCGGCTGCACTGGGTGTGTTGTAAATAGTACCATTGGAAACTAGACGTTTTTTTCACCCACACAGCCCAAAATTTGCTTTAAAATTGTTTTTTTGAAATTAGTTAGTGATTTAATAGGGCCGGTTGTGGTGTGAGTAACCATGCTAGTCAACGAAGTGTTAAAGAAAAATTCCATTCTGAGTTTCTAATATTCGACGTTTGCAAACCGAGACCGGAGGCCGAGGGTTGGCAACGAATTTTGCTTATTGGCTGTATCAGAAAGTATTAAGGCGAATGGTCGGAAACAGTTATTACTGCGGAAACCATCACTATGGCAACACACCGTAATACCAACACATTAGGAAAGGTGGAATTCCACATTTACTGAAACAAATTGCAAATCCGACGTGTTAACATTTTTTTTTATTTTGAAAACGTTGCTTTTTTGTTTTTTTATTTTTTTATATTTTGCATTCATTCTATTTTAATTTCGCTTAATGAATTTGTTTATATGTTCTTATTATTTTTTCCGGTTCTTTAGATCATTTCCCCAAGACCATTCGCCATTTCTCCATACGCCATAACTTAAAAAACGTGAAAATTCATTTCGCGTTTCGTACATTTCAGTTATAATTATACGAAACTTTTTCAAAACGGATTTCGCCTATTGGCTGCGTCAGAAAGTATTAATGGCGCAGAAGCGGAAAGAAATATTATTATTGCGAAATGCACTTAGCAATACCGTAACAGTGGATGGGCGGAACCAATTATTATAGGGCAAGAAATTTTGCAGAAGGTCAGGCATTTTCGCCAGTTAGACAGAGAGAAAAGAATTTTTGCCGATCTGACCAAGAGAGGTGGGGGGGTTCGCTTTTTAGACAGTGGGGGTGGGACTTTCGCCAGTTAGACAAAGAATGAGGGATTTTCGCCGGTTAGACAGAGGTGAAGAAAATTTTGCCGCTTGGACAGAAGGTTACGGATTTTTGCCGGTAAGATAGAGAAAAAAATTTTGCCGATCAGACAAAAGGGGAAGAATTTTCGCCGGCTAATCAAACGGACAGGAATTTCTTTTGGTTAAACAGTGAAGAAAAGAATTTCGCCAGTTAGAGAAAGAGGTAGAAACATATAGTACAGTTAGAAGTAGTTCATTGTATTACAATAAAATTTTTTAAAATTCAGTACTTCTATTATAATTACATTAATAAAACCACAACAGAATTCAACCCCTCTCAATTGATCTTTCATTTGGCGGATCATTTTTTTTGGCAACTAAGACTCAAGTGCTGTTACACTCATTGTTTATAAACAATCCAGATTTTTGGTTTGCTGATTCGTTTAAAGCAAAATCCCATTCTGAGTTTCTAAAATTCGACGTTTGCAAACTGAGGCCGGAGGCCGAGGGTTGCCTTGTTATATATACAAAGCTACTTCGCCGTTTTTTTTATCCAACATCTCCTCCTACATCGTTGGACGGTAATTTTCGCACGATAGCTTAATAAACGCCTAAAATCATGTAGTTTGTCTCAACGCCTTTCGTTTTTCGATCTTTTCGTTGTCCGAATTACGAAAGAGGAACAAAACGAATTTCGCTGGTTGGCTGATCATTAGTTAGATATTAACATAGGATTGGCGGAGATGCGGAAGTTATCGAACCAAGACCGCTGACTAATAACACACAAATAGTACAATACTTTATGTGCCATATGTGCCAGTATGCGCATAATACCGGGCGGCTGAATTGTAAAATATTTTGGAAATGTAAACAATGCGGAAAGACGTAAGTTAACAGGGAACTTCTGGTACAACTTCGAAGCAAAATTGTGTACAGTGCTTAAAACAATCATGTAGTTTGCCACATAGGGTTCGTTTTTCAGTTTTTTTCCTCTCCGCGTTTCGATACGAGTTTGAAACGAATTTTCGATTTCATTAGCGGAAAAAAGAAAAGGATAACTGAAACGGGCAAGGTACATACAAAAACTAACATAAGTAAGTATTATTAATAAGAAGGGAATTTGATAAGCACAACAAATGTCCCTGTAATCAGCAAATTCCTGACAGGAAGATATAATTTCCGATGGTGTTCTTGCCGGTGAGACAGAGGCGGAGGAATTTTCGCCGGTCAGATACATAGAAGTACAGGGATTTTCGCCGGTCAGATAGAAGTACAGAAATTTTCGCCGGTCAGATAGAACTACAGAGATTTTCGGCGGTCAGATAAAAGTACAAGGAATTTCGCCGGTCTGATGGAAGTACATGAATTTTCGCCGGTCAAACAAAAGTACAGGGATTTTCGCCGGCCAGATGGAAGTACAGGGATTTTCGCCGGTCTGATAGAAGTACAGGGCTTTTCACCGGTCAGATATAATTACAGGGATTTTTGCCGGTCAGATAGAAATACAGAGATTTTCGCCGGTCAGATAGAAGTACAGGGATTTTCGCCGGCCAGATAGAAGTACAGGGATTTGCGCCGGTCTGATAGAAGTACAGGGATTTTCGCCGGTCAGATAGAAGTACAGGGATTTTCGCCTGTAAGAACACAGGGGCATGGATTTTCGCCGGTTAGACAGAGAGGATGGGATTTTCGGCGGTTAGACGGAGGTGTAAGGATTTTCGCCGATCTTACAAAAAAAGAGAATTTTTTGGTCAGATAGAGGATGAGGTGTTTGACTGATATGTTATTATTAAAATTTTTTGCTAATATGTTATCTGGCTCAACCTTTTTTGTAGACGAAGGTTTTATCTATGGCACTTCCATAAATAAAAGTATATGTATACACGTTTTTAATTCAAAACAAACCGCTTTTACGACCAGTTAAGTTCCGTTTCCTAAATCTTTATAAAACCACCACATTTCTTTCTTCAGTTTTAAAAATTCTCAACCGAGGCCGGAGGCCGAGGTTGAGCTTGTAAATATAATGACCGCATACACGTGCACAGCACCGCACAGTCTCCATGATCCGTTACTGAGACAGTACAAATACCGAATAAATCTTTTTCCCTAAGTTGTACAGTTGTCGAATAAATCTTTTTCCCTAAGCTTTACAGATTTCGAAAAGCGGTTTTGCACCAATCTACCCTGCTGGCTGTGTGAATTCTCCTGGTCTACCAAACATTTTAACTTGTGTTGCTACGATAAAGTGTCCCCATCTTATATGCCACCAGAGGCCAACAAGATACTTTCTCCTGTGCCTTTTTTCGCAACAAGTTTGCCACAAGAGGGATTTCGCCACAAGAGGGATTTTGCCGTACTTGACGCAAAGACCGCGCATGGCCTGGAGCTTTCAACTGGTGCATCCGAGCTGCTGTGTCACTCTCACAAGGCAGAATATCGACAGCGACCTGCCCCGAACAGAACTGATTCTGACGTGGATTTTCGCGCTAGCTGGACTTCATCAAAAACTGTAACCTCTTTTCTACAACAGATCTATACGCCAAATGCGTTGCCACTACAATTGTGGTTCAGAGCGGTGATGTGCGATCAAGGGGTAACGGATCGGCATGTTCAGAACGAATACTGGTTGCTACTGAAACAAATCAGGGAAGAACACAAATCATGTGGCCAGGAATGCGTGCTAAACAGAGGATTTATAACCATATCGCAGCAACTAAGAATGGTTATTAGAAAGCTGGATTCGCAAGCGGGTAGCAGTTGGCAGAACTTGACCTTCACCCTGGACAAAGAGTCGCCCCACTGCATGGCGTTTGCCCAGTTTTTCTTCCTCCACCACGGCGAGCAATTTCCTCGCTGGCCCGCTCGAAAGTGTCCCGGTCTGAAAGCGTCTGAAATTCGTTTGGATGCAACTGAAAGCGCTAATTCCATTTAGATGAAACGCTTTTAGCGATATTTGTCAAAATATAGCACTGTATTTTGTCAGTCTCGATAAGGATAAGTCGCCACATGTAGTTCAACTGACCTTATTTGACCAGCCAGTCGTTTGCAATTGGTTTCGGCAAAAAATGATTTAATTTGTAGCACTATTGTCTTACTAAATTAACGCAATCAGCATTAAGGCAAACCTGGCATATGTACCGTGTACGTATGCTTAAAAGCAACACATAATTATAGCTGCCTGGTACACACATAATTATAAACAACACATAATTACAGTTAGCAATCCTTCGCAGCTTTAGCATTCGCGCGAGACTTCTATTTTGAGCTGATCTGGAGGACTTGTTACGAACGCTTGAATTCGCCTATGATGTCGATAGCAAAGATACAGAGCAGCTAGTGCGAACTCCGCGCGCTGCAAAAAATTATAATTTGCTCGAGAATATTTTTGAAGTTTTTAGGCACAGCGTCACGTGAACAGATCACTACGACGAGCAGGAACAAGCAGCACCGAAGTTCCGGCTGCCGGCCAAATGTTGTACACTGATTTGAAAGGAGAAACAGTTACTGTATAATCTGTATTCAGTAATTTATAATTGAATAATTTTCGTATAAAGCGATTTCAACAGGTGTAATGAATACTGTGCAGCGAAAATAGTTCTAAAGGGGAATATCTCGAGTAACCTTCTGTTTATTCAGCAAAAGGGGATATACATACAAAAATGTCTGCTCCTATTTAAAAAAGATGCAAATTTAAGCATTGAAAAAGCAATCAAAATCCTTATTCCGGGTAATTATGTTGGCAGTTTACATAGTGATGTATTTCTCCACTGTATAAAGCATAACCACAATTCTCATTCGGGCGCTGAAAGGCTACAAAAAATTAACTGACCACAGAAACGGTTGACTCGTGATTGATTTACCCGAGCCCGAGCAATCGAAATGAAGGCCAAACAACTTGAAGTTAGTAATGCAAACTTTCGACCGTTGCAAACTTTCAAAGCGGATAATAGTGTTTTGAAATTGTCATGCCATCAATCAACAAACAGCACCAGCTACTATTGACATGACAGGTTCACAATGCCGGGGACTTTTTTTGCACAGTATTCTACAACACGCTGAACAAGTTCCGGATCGGACTGCATAATTTCCTCCAATCCTTTCCCATGCAGCACGTTGTCCAGATATTTTGGCATCAATGCCATCGCCGCCGCTCTCAGCACGGGGAGTCCGCGTTGCGCGGAAAACGTCAGCAAAAGAAACGCTTTCTCCACGCTGATGCTATCGGCTAATGTATGCTCGCACACTGCACGCAAATCCATCAAGGCGTACTGATCCGCCATGCTCAGCACTTTTACCGCGTTCTCAGCCGTGACCTTCCCGGTTTCACTTCCATAAATGTACTCCAGCAGTATTTCAACACATTCGGCATCAATATCGCCTAGATCGCAGCGCGATTCCTGCTTTTCTTTGGTATCGTGTGTCAGCATAGCGGCGAACACTGGTGACTGTGACATCAGAATGAATCGATGGGCAGGGAATTCGGTGCCTTTTTTGGATCGCAGAATAAAATCACCGGTCTGTTTATGCTGTACATTGCGGGAGCCGTCCATTTGACGATAGAGGACGTTGCTCGCTAGTTGTAGTGTGTCCGGCGCTCTTGGTAGTGTTAAATTCTCTCGGATACTCTTTGGTTCTTCATACAACGTGGCATCAATTTTCAACGTGACATAAGTGTCTTGCGCGTCGGGTTTTTTCCAGGACTGAGATCGGCCGTCCAATGCAAACAATATGATCCATTCATAATTACTTTCGGTGGAAGAAGCCCACAAAGGCACCGGCCGAAAAATGCCATCCCAGGCCCGAAGAACGTTTTCTGTTGTGTCTCCTGTTGTTGCACTAAAGAAAGAGGAATAATCAGAGCCAAGTAAATATAGTACTATGATAATATGCTAATCGGAAGAGCGCTTTTTTTCAAATTTTTATAATGCCGTCCGGTTGATTACCCAGAAACCACACGCTCATCGAAACGCCATAAACGAAATGAACGAAAATGGGAAACTTATAAAAAGATAAACCTCCTAAAGCGTTTATTAAATTTTTAATTTAGTTTCCGGCTTCGCTTCGATCTTCGAGTGCTAGCCAACAGCGGTGCACTTTTCTAGTTATTCTTTGATTCATTGCTTGTCCGTACCGAATCGTATACGCTGCAGCCACAGCGTGGTTTCCAGTGTATACTCTGGATGAGAGCTCTGTATCGGTCAGACACATGCAAGCAACCTCAACAGTCGATTTCGACTTCCTGTCTCCCGAGTCGTTCTGTATCTTTGTAATATGGGTTGATGGCTATGCGGAAACGACCCTGGTAGTTACCGTTGAGCCCTAGTTCGTTCCATCGCTGTACATTATATTCATTTCTTTTCGTCTTCGGTACGAATGAATATTTTCGATTTTGCATTCCAAAGCGAAAGGCCCTTGGTTTCCATTTGTTAAGCAATCCTTCACTACAGGACTTATTAACGACGCATCCATCGTGAATATTTTCCACAAATTTTTGTCTACGAAAACAGTGAATAATCCTAAGCCGATGTCACGTCAACGATCGGCAAACATTACCAGTTAATAGATCAAATTCAAATGGTAGAACCTGCACTTTCCCACCTTTTACCAACAGTATTTTATGAAAATTACCGACTTATTCTGGCAGTGATGATTTTACAGGCAAAACAAATCGCCTGCATGGAGATACAGCAATGCTGGTTATTTAAATGTGCCAACGTAAAGCTTTCTTCGTGAAAACTTTGACAGCGTGATGCGGCTTGCAGAGTCGTGGAAAATAATATACTTACGTACATACCGATAGCCACAATAATGTGGTTAATGCCACTATTCTCCTCGGGCTATCCGAGTATCTATTATTAGAAGTCCATGATAAGATAAGCGGTGTCGAAGCAAATCCGAAATGATGAGTTTATAGTGCCTCAAAGAAACTGTTCTAATTCGCATAAAATATGACCGGTGGCATCAGCACCTGGCTGCTGTCTGGACGACTGCTCGACATCCATTGTTTGCGAGTGGCAGTTTTATTTACTGGCAGTCGTATGACAAAGTACCCGGAAGTTTTGATCCCGGAAGCTGGTTTTGAGATTGGGCAAAGCCGGAGTGAGCGACGCGAACGCAAAGAGGCACCGGTAGTCAGTAGATCGCATCCTCGAGCTTTCAACACAAAAATAAGCAGTTTTCATTACGTGACCGCATCTGAGTCGTTTACGTTTAAACCATTCAACGGGCAGCGTTGCGAGCTGCGGCTACTAGATGCGTCCCGTCGTACAGGGTAGGTTGACATTTCACGCACCGAACGGTCTTGGTATCGTAATTTCAGTGGTTCATCGCCCTTTGACGGAGTGGTGATATATTTAAGCAGTGCGCTTTGGCCGCTGACTGACATACAGAGTAGCAGGGATGCGCAGGTTTTGCCATTTTCATGTGAAAATTATTTATTGCTGCAAGAATTTAATATTTTTTTAAATTTTGTGATAATAACAAGCACAGGGAAGCATTATACGACCGAAAGGAGCTTTGCTGTTGAGAATGTACAAACACGAAAATACTGGAAAAAACAAATTGAGGCATGGAAACGCTTCTTGGTTTATCCGGCGAGATAACAAAACTTCCGGGATTTTTTAAAACTGGTACTACTTGTCGAGCGTCGTTGCTTTTGCTGAAATTAAGTACTGTTTTTAGCCGTCCTTAATACATCAACCTGCACTTCCAAAAAAACAAGCAACACAACAGTACCACAACTCTTTTTTTCGTTACAATTTTTTATCGTTTCTCCAATTTTTGCATCATTACAGGAATAGGTGCCAAGCGCAACTGACGCAACGAATTATAAAACATTGAAATGAAGTGGTTTTTTCATAAAATCTAGTGATGAACACAATTATACCGATTTTTACCGTTATGAGTCGGACTGTAGCGCCGAATATCCTCTCAAACATCTGAAATTGGCAGCGTTCCAGGAAGATATATATATGATAAGGGCACGATACGTGTGCACATATGTACTAATTTCATGTACGGAGCTTATGTATACACGTGAAACAGTCTTGAAGCACTCTTATGGAATTGCAACTTTCTAACCTAACCGGAGTTTCACGTAGCACGATAAACTAGCAAGCAATCTTGGCAGCATGTCCAATTTCTAGGACAGAGAGGTCCATGCTCGGCCCTGCAAAATAATAATAAAAATAGCGGACAGCGATATATAGATCCAAATTTTAGCCCAATTCAACGATAGAAGTACCAAATCTGTCGACGAACGATCTCATGATAAGTGAAAATAACTTAAAGATAACTTAATTGCCATGATAGTTATAGGAAGAGATACATTGCAGGCCAGAAAGCATTCGAAATATGTTCCACGCACTTATTTTTTGTTAAACTTCCATTTTCTAGCATGTAACATCAGCAGTCACTCCTGTATGCAGGATGGGCAGCTCGGCATCCTCCACCAGCTCTGCTACAAAGCCCGCTGGGTTAAACGTACGCGTGTCCGGCTTTGGTTCAGGTCCTTCAGTGTCATCGGTTCTACGTTTCAGTTTCATCAGTTTCTTTTTTTTTACGCACTCCTTAATCCAATCTCGCACAGCTTGCAGTTCATACTTAATATTTGTAACACGCTCCCCTTGTATAATAGTGGCTGCAAACGCAAGTGCAAGAAGAGCCGATGCGGCATCCTTTCTGTGTTTTGGAACTTGTGGAAGTCGAGCGGTAAGGATATGTTTCCTATCCTCTTCTTCCTTTTCTCTTTCCTTTTCTTCGACGCCTTTGCCGTATAAGACGGCAAAGGGTCTGCACGGCAACGAGCACGCTGCGCCGACCGCCTCCTCTGGAGGCGGCAGTACTAACCCATTGCTTTGCAGGTTCGAAGACGTTACCGAGGATAGTGTATCATTTCTGATACAGCAATTGGCCAAGAAGAAAAAAAGCGCGGGTCCGTGTGGAATGCCTGTGAAAATCCTCGGTGAAATGAACAAGCACATGGCCAGACCACTGACGGGCATGATCAACGCGTCACTCAGGGCGGGAGTGTATCCGACCATCTTCAAAAACGCCGATATCGTTGCAATCCCGAAGCAGCATAACGCGCAGCAACCGGACGACTTTCGACCTATTTCGCTTCTTTGCAACATCTCAAAAATCTTTGAGAAAGTTGTGCAGAGCCAGCTCGTTTCCACCTTAAAAGCGAAGAACATCCTCTCTGACAAACAGTCTGGTTTCAGAGAAGGTCATTCATGTGAAACATTGCTGCTGAAAATGTCCGAAAAATGGCGGAAAACGATGGATAAGGGGCAGGTGACTGCCGTATGTTTTCTGGACCTCAAGAAAGCGTTCGACTCTGTTTCCCATGCCAAATTAATTGAAAAATTGCAGGCCATTGGGATTGAAGGAAATGCGCCGCTGCTGTGGTTTTATGACTACCTGACGTCTCGTAAGCAACGAGTGAAAGTAACAGCGCGTGTGTCGGACTGGCTCCCAGTGCGGTCGGGAGTGCCACAAGGAACACGGATGGGGCCTGTGTTGTTCATTGTGTACATTAACGATATGCCAAATGGAATGGACGCAGAATTGTTTGCCGATGACACAGTACTGTATGGCATCGGTCCTACGAAAGCGGAAGCTGCAGCTAAGTTAACCGTGCAGATTGGTAAAGCGACAACTTGGCTTGCAGATAACACCTTGTGTATCAATGAAAAGAAGTGCAAACTGATGTACATATGTTCCGAAGCGAAGAACAGCCAGCCTTCTCCGGTGGTTACAATCAATGACCACCAGATGGAAGAAGAAAAGCACGTGAAGTACCTGGGGATCTACATAGACCGCAATCTGCAGTGGGGAACGCATATCGATCACGTGCTGCGGAAAGTTAACTACGGCATCGCAATGATTAACTGTGCAAAAGACGGCCTGGATCTGCCCCAGCGTAGGAGCCTTTACCATGCCTGTGTGCAGCCACACTTCGACTACGGGTCGGATACGTGGTCACCGGCATCTTTGGCTTTGCGCGGTAAACTGGCCAAAGCCCAGCGGAAAGCACTGCGGGCGATTTCTGATTACAAGGAGCGGGTAACACCCGAGCTGTATCAGAAACTGCGTATCCTGCCAGTGTACGACCGTTGGAAGCAGTCTGAAGCAGTATGGTTGTACAAGATCTACAACCACGAGGCGTACCGTCCACCGCAGTATTTGGTCGAGATTATTGACTTCACGGATATTACATCGCGGTACAATCTCCGGAAGCCGAAAAGAATCGAAGCCTCAGCAAAAAAGAAGATCGGAGAAAGCACGCTGGCAATGCGACTGAAGGAGATCTTTGAGCGCATACAGAATGTTAACATGCAGATACTCAGTGTTGATGGTGTCGGTTTTTTCAAATTTGCTCTCAGAATGGTGGATCTGTCTTAATGTTGTTTTATTGTTCGGTTACTTTTGTAGCGACCAGACGTTGAAGTCCCGTTAACCGGGTTGTCTGCTGTTGATGTAATAATAATAATAATAATAATAATAATAAGAACCAGATGTGGCATTTGTCCGATGCCGATAAGTGACACCTCTCATCGCTGGAATATAAGAGCAGCTCCGCTGTATTCCAATAAGTAACAAAGACATGTTCTGACGATGCAATACTTGAAGTATGGATTTGAATCGTTGGCTTATTTAAACTGAATCTAGCTGCCTTTTTATAACCTTCGCTAAAGTTAATAAAACCATCCCATGCAATGTCACGTGTTGACGCAATGTACTGTGCAAAATAGCCGACCATTTCCCAGATTATGCTTTCGGGCAGTAGTGGCGTTTTTGACTGCTTTTCTGTCGCCGCACCCGTATTTTCGCTTTCGTCTTCAGTTTCAGTCCTTTTAAAAATTTGAGCTTCTCTTTGTCTTTCATAGGTATTATACGTTGAGACGGCAATGGATCGTCGGGAGAAATGAAACCAGGTTTTACGCAACACTCCAGAATAGACTTCAAATCTATTTCGCGGTTTGCTTCCGTAAGTTTTCTCTCTGTTTTGGACAGTTTCAACTTAGTTAAATCTTCTTTCGCCTCGAATTCGTTGAACGAGTCCAGTATCCATCGTCGTGCATTCTCGTTCGTAACAGCACGCAGACCCTTCTCTTTCTTGATACTATCGTCCATTATCAGGTGTTGGGCGAAGCGTCGGAGTTACAGAAATTCACGCGTATTTCTACCGAGTCCCTTTTAAGTAACTTATCATAGAGACACCATAGCTGAAGCAACGCTTGGGGTTGAATTCAAATTCGCAGCTGGCATAGACTTGCACCAAATCCCTCTTTGAAGTATAAAGGGAAACGAAATAGTGACGGACACCGTCGAAATGAACTTGAACATCCTTCTTTGGCTTTTTGGATGACTGCGGGGTTAATTTTGTGGTTAATTTTTTGGTTAATTTTGTCAGAATGTCTGCCACCTGGAACATTCCAAAGAATTTAGATAACGGCGGTTCTTACGTTTCGGATTCCTTCCAGGTACCGCTTCAGAAGTGCAACAAACGCAAAAACGGAGGCAGCCGACATCGACGATGTATTGCTTTCAATTAGTTTTGCCTCTTCTTTAAGCACATAGTGCTTCGCCTGATAGTGCTCTCTTTGTGGTTCAGCGTAATACAAATCCAGCATGACCAAGTTGCAAACATGGCTAGTAGTCGTCAGCAATCCGCAGGTGGGGTATGGGTCATAATCCGTACTGACGTCTACATGTATCAGGCAACGTCCTTTGTCCTTGTACTGTATTTACACGATATTAGGGACAGAGAAATCCCCAGGACCGCTCGCACTAGGCGTCGGCTCCATTGATGTCAAAGGAACCGACAACTAGTGCGGGCGGTCCTGGGGATTTCTCTGTCCCTTAATATCGTGTAAATACAGTACTTTTAAGACTTGCCGGTGTACCATAACTGAGAGATTTCTTTCCACTTGCAATTGGCATTTTTTTCTTTCGCATGGGTATGCTTCCCGTCCCACAGGCTGCTGTGCTCTTCGGGCCCTCGTTATATCGGAGCTGGTCTTTAGTAAACGGTCTGCTGTTGCACACGATTTTGTTATTGACGAATTTACAAAATGTTCCATACGTAGGGTTAGCGTCGTGACGGAGCGAGGACATTTTCTGTGTATCATTAGGTCAGCACTAACCGTACTTGCATGTGTGCAAACTTTCCGTTACAAAAGGTTGACTGTATGTTTTGCATATCCATGGCCCTTTCTGCTGTCCCTGAAAATTGGTTTTCAGTTTTAGTTGGTCCTTGTAATTTTCTTGGTGTTTCTTGTGATCAGCCTCAGTTATAGAGTGTCCTGAAGTTAAACAAGCGGAATAATAAAGACGTAAAAAACAATTCTTTCCGCTAGCCAAGTTGCCTGCAGCGTGCAGTGCATTGCAACTGACAGCGGCAACAGACACAGGCGATTGCTGTTTACCGTATTTCTATCATTTAAACGGACCAACATGTATGCGTACCGCAATGTACCCGTACGAAAAGTGCTGCTTGAAATAAAATACGCTTGTACGGTAAAATAAATTTTAAGCTTTTCTTTATTTTCTTATGCAAACTTGTACGATGTTATGTCTTAGGTATCAGTTATCACCTGTGGGACGATTCGTACCAAAGAAAAAAAGTGAATCGTTTTTTCTCTCCTTGTAGTTAGTCACAGTAGACATCTGTATACATGCTGTAGATACCCTGTAGACCTATCGGTAGTCATCTGGTTTCCCTGGATGGATACAGCGTGTCTACAACGGTGTCTACAGGTTGTCTACGGATGTCTACCGCTGTATACAGGCAGCCCTTCTTAGGTTTAGCTCGATACACTGCCTGTATACACCGGTAGTCACCTGTAGACAGCCCGTAGACATACTGTAGTCACCTGGTTTCTTAGGTTTTCTTAGGATGTATACAGGTTGTCTACAGAGTCTCTACAGGTTGTATACAGATGACTACAGTGACTACAAGAAGGAAAAAAACGTTCCATTTTTTTTCTTTGGTACGAAACGTTCCATATATAAATTCATAACTGTATACTAACGTGAGCTTCTTCGTGATTACAGAAGCCCTTGTACAAAACAAATGATAATGTTCAGCTATCGGCTGCAGAAATCTGCAGCTGTGACTATGTTGTAAGACTGGCTAATGGGTCGGTGTTTTTAAAGATTGTATCGGTACTTAATCAATCATCGTTTTGATTAATGGAGTGCAAGTTTTACTTTGCGGCTCGGTTACCACTGGAATGCGTGCAGTACGTACTATTTCTGAGCTATGGCTTAAGATGCATACCTTTTCCACAACGGTATCTAGCTGTAGTTACCAAAACTGCCTGGAGAGTTTTCCAAACAGCTTAAAATAACGCTAATACTGCGTACTGTAGTGCGTACAGCAGTAACATAAATAACATAACATATCGACACTGTAATAAACTCACGCGATATTCAAACGGCGTTGTGCAACTTGTGCGTACAAGCAGACTCTGCGGCAAAGCGGACCTTGAGCCATATCGACACACCATATAATATAACTGTACACAAGCTGGTTGTCTCAGGCCCTTTCTGTAGTATTATAGACGGGCTCCATATTGCAAACCTCTACTGGGACTTGTTAATTTTTTAAATAGTATTTTTGCTGGGCGATTGTTAACAGAAACGCCACTGCCGTCGTGAGTGTCTTATTTTCTAACCAGAGGAAATTAAAGAGGCGGTTTTGATTGTGTTTCGTATTGTTAAATTTTGATGTGAAAATGACATCATTATTATATACGTGCATTAGAAAATGCTGTTATCGTGGCGGTTGATACTTAATCGGCACAAGTGAGACGCGTCATACATTTTATCAATAAGTGAAACATCGTCTGAACTCGGCATCATGGACGAAATCCCAGCGACCAATACAGACGAATGCCACGATATCAACACTGATCCGGTTTTGCTGCCTTTGCTAACGACATGTGCTCCTAGCTGCAGTAAAGCGGTAAATCCTGATTTCACCGAAGACGGCTCGGATGACAGATCGGCAACGTCCCGCAGACATATTTACGCTGCGGTACAAGCAGCCACCAGTCCATCGGTCTCGTACGTTTCCGACGAAGACATTTCAGATACCGCGCACCAGTCAGACTCGTCCACCAGAGATACTTCCATAATAATAAATTTGGATAGAAGAATTTGCTATGAAAATGATCCCGGTGTGAGGAGGAGTGGCCTCCCCGTACGCCCGCACAGGTGCGGGTGCTAAGTTGTTTTGCTGTTTTTGCTAGTGATTTTCTCCATCTACCAGCTCTTCGATCTGGTAGATTCTTCAGTTGCTAGCCATCGTCGTCTGAGTAACTTGCTGTACTTTTGGCCCCGCAGCATCTGCTGCGGGAGCATCTGTAGTGCTATATGAATGGGATATAAAAGTGTGCAGTTGATTGTCGGGTGTCTTGCGTTTCCGCATAGCTCGTAGTATACAACACTGCTCACTCTGCAGGATAGATTCCGTTTCTGTCTCTGTCCGTGGATTCTTTCTAGATCCACCATCATACCGGTGACATCGAGTTCGATGGGAATAACTCGCAGTTATTTTCTGTTATTTTCATGTATCTGTTCATGAAATTTCCTTTGAGGGTTTTACGATTTCTAACAAATGATATACAGGTGTTTTTAACTGCTATACCGCATAATCTGTTCCCCTTTTTTCGTTACTTAAAGCAAGCTGCCATGGAGACTCCACAAAAAATAAGCCACTTTCTTCTGGGATTTCCGGAGCCATTTTTTGCTGCTACTAAGGGTGAACGGTTATTCCGTTTGATAGTCACATTTGGAATTTTCACCGTGACTTTAGCACTTGTGGACATAGCAACTGACATTCTGTTTATTTGGAATCTTTGGGTGAATACAAGTTCTTACATCAGTTCATCTGTCCTCATATTCATCACATGCGTTCCTTTTCTTCCCCTTATATTATCTACTATTCGATCGCATTCTGATTGGCACAACGACTTGGCGGAAGCCTGCGCATTAAACTGGCGATTGGCTCGGCAATCCCTAATGAATGTGGATGATCTACTTCTGCTCTCTAAAGAAGATCGGAATGACGGGCCAAGGAGCGGGTTGCGCTCGTTTCAGCAGATTAAGAGCTGGAATGAAAAGCGAGGTCTGGAAATTTTCCCTTTTGCATTTTTCTCTCGGTAAGATCACGAACTTTGGTTTGATATTTTGAAAAGCTTGCCCAGTTATGACAGCAGCTGGCGCTCAATAAGGGTCATTCGAACCAGCAAAAATATTGTAATGTCCGTAACTTGATCAACATTTATTGCTAACTGTTCATTAATACGACCATAACTGAAGGATTAAGTAAGTAATTAGAAAATGATACAGCACTACTGACAGTCGTTGCTATACTTTAATTATACGTACACTACAAATATTCTAATTAGCCGGGATGAAAAACGACAGTGCAAGAGAGAAAGTTTCAGCGAATCAGAGCGTTTCTCGCCTGTTTTACAAATACAGTAAAACCTCTCGTTTCATACACTTCTTTATTAAATACACTTCTCTGTAACATACAACCCATAAGGAACCGAATTGGCTCGCATGTTATAACATAGGGGGGATTCTCTTTATAACATTCACCTCTTTATAAGCCTTACATACACTTTCCGCGGAACCGAATGTAGTTTAACCAGTGTAGAGAACCTCTGAACAACATTCAGTTCCGGTTAAATACAGTTGCATACAGGTAGCCGGATGCAATCTGACGGAGCAACATTAACGTTGTTTGTGTAAATGGTAATTACTATGTGGTATGCAGAAGTATATCTCACAGAATATTTTTTGTTTCCAGTTTTCAAGTATTAATCGTACTTTATGATGAACTCAAAACGAAGTTGGTATTTTTAATGTACTCGTGTGCAATACAAATTTGTAATGTACTACAGATTCTTGCAGCTGCCTTAATGTTGCATTAATAAAATACATGTAGTGCGAAGCCCCTACCCCAAATTGTTACAGCGCCCCTGGGGGCAGTTTCCCTTTATAAAATACACCCCGGTATAACATACGAAACTGATGGAACCGTGCCTGTATTTTATAGAGAGGTTTTACTGTAAGTGTAGGTTGTTCTTTAGATAAAGATTTGTTGTGATTAAGGTTTTAGATAGAGATTTATTATTGATTGTGTCTGTCTGAAGCCTAGAGAGGTACCTGCTCCACGCAAGTACAACAAACCCCATTATTATTATCAATATTTATTATAAATAAATAAACAATAACTGGTTTATTGTCCTTTGCTACGAGGCTTCGCCTCCTTCTAAGCTAAGATAGAAAATCCTAAATAAGAAGAGAAAACAAAAAAGCGTGACATCATGACAGCAACCAAGGATGCGAATTTAAAGTTTGTGGTTTATTATTTTTTTAAAGGTTTATTAGTTTTAAAGTTTATTATTTTTATGCTGCTGACTTACTGAAGTGCGAAAACGCATGGAGTAACAAGAATATGGCACTAGACGCAGTTGCTTAAGATATAAGTAAATAGAGCGTACCGCAGACTTGGGACAGGACGCCATGTCAAGGGCCCAAGGAAACTGTCTTTCTAATGTTTTGTTAATTGTGACCCGCAGGTTTCTTTGGTTTTGCACTGAGTGGATTTCGAATGTTCGATTACTCGTGAAACTAGGGTTGTAGTACAAGCCCGATACATGCTGAGCATGTAAAGGAACAGGTAGTTTGCAATAAGCGCTGTTACCGCTTGAACGATAACGTTACCCACTGCACGACAATTATGTGGAATGGCAAACCGTGTTCCGCAATTATCTCGCTCCCTTACTGCACTGACTTTAGCCGAGCCCCCATCCGCACGACAATTACGGCACTTTTATTAATTTTGGCAGGCACCGGCCAAGCCGAGGGCACTAAATAACGGGTACAGGACGTGCATCTATTGTTCTGATAAGCCCTCCTTAGCGGCCGGAGGCCGCCGAATGGGCAGACTGCCCGCTACTTTTCCTGCCTGAACTGGTCACTCGTATAATATTATACAGACAGACAATGCCAGCCGGCGCGCACCAAGAGTGCAACGTTTCAAAAATTGTTGTTGTTGACATGTAGCTTTTAGGAGATAATCGTTGTGGCCATAAAACAGTCTAAAATGACCGCTTTCAAATGATGCAAAACAAGATGCAGTAACTACTACCACTAAATAACAGACGCGGTATTAACCACTTTCGTACGCTAACAGATGGCTAAAGTTTACCGTATGAATATGGCTGATATTGCGTTTATTAGTCAGTGACTCAGTGGTAGCAATTATTGCTTCCTATCGCACATCAATCGAAAGCGGCTTGCAGCCCACCGCATGCAACGCATAAGCAGTGTGGCGTGAAGCGCCGAGGTATGAAGGTTGACGTAACGTAGCATAAATTTGAAAAATTCGCTGTATTTACGAATGCTTAACGTGAAATCAGGCTTCTATCACTAAGCAGTAAGAATTTTAAGGTTCTCGTTGTACTAATCTTATAGTATCTCGAAATGTTATTAATTTCAACTGCAGAATACAAATCAATGCACGTATTTGCTAATCAAACAGTGAATTTTATTATCACATGTTGTTATATTATCTTAGTTTTTTTGGAAAGGTAATTTACGGCGTCCGTCTCTTTATCTGCCAAAACGAAAATGAGCGGAAGGGAAATCGGTTTTTCGGTTTCGAAGAAAAATATCATTTAAACTTAAACTGAAAGTGCAGAGCCGCATACCGTAAGCTTTGGGTCGCCTATCGTAACGTGATTTCACAAATTCTTTGCAGTTGCCAACTGTTCTACGAAGCGTGGAAATACGGCCCAGGACATTCTTTCTATTTTAAAAGTACCGATATAGAATTCCAGGATCTACACCTTCAGAGAGCGCATCTCAAGGAGATAAAATACGAATCCAGTATTCAGCTGATAATATTAATGCTATTGAGTGCCACGGGCATTATCCCCTTTTCAACTGTTAACTGCCTTTCCATCATATTATCCATGCTATCCATTGCTAAATATTTTCCAGCATTTGCTCGTCTCCCAGGAAGGTTTGCCTTTAGTAAGAAGCTGCTTGCAGAGAAAGATTCCATCCAGCTAACAGAAGCCAACCAACTGCTTGCATCATGGCTTTGGGTGCTGTACGGCACCATTTGCAATTTTCTGTATCTTGGGTGTCGGTATCACATCCTCATTGCTCTCGTTGTGTACAACTGGCAGGCTGCCATTGCTACAATAACTATCCAGTTTATCACGGTGTCGGCATTTCTGATTGGGTCGTATTATTCACTGAGCCAGAAGTACCAGATGCGTCGATTAATTTCTAGACGCCCAAGAAAGAAGAAAAACCCATGGAAGATAAGAATCGGGTGGTGTTGCGCGTTTTGTGGCCAACTTGTTACCACTTTGGGACATTTTCTGCTAGTACCGGTCACTACAACAATGACGAAAGTGGGATGCGTTATGGGTACCGCTTTGCAGCTTACGGCAGTAACTGCTTACTGTATTGTGCTCCAACTTGGATGGGACAGAAAAGCCTATTGGTACCACACAATTCTGCAAGATGACAGTGAAACCGCGATAGACTTTTCCACAGTGCTCTTCCCGGCGCTAGTGGCAAACGTTGTTGTGTCGTGTGTGCTTCTGCCTTTGCTATGCCGTTTGATGGACGACAGCAGCGGTAACAGCTGTTGGCTGCGCCATCGGGAAACGTGCCAAAAGTGTATTGGTATGTGATGGCATTTTGCAGCGGTTATAATTATAATTATGTTATAATTATTATCGTACCATCACATTCGTGATGCAAGATTGTGTATGCTCTCGTTTTAACGAAGATTTGGAAATGACACCGGTATCAGCGGTGTTTGTTTTATATTATTTTCTTCATTGTTCTTAAAGGTTACGAAGGCACGGCCGTGCAGATTCTCGATATAGGAAACGGAGAGCTACGCATATCGAAACTGGGCGTTACGCATATCGTTTCGATATGCACAGCCTTCGCGGCCGTGCATATTCGATACAAATCCGGAATGAAAGTCTGGCTTCAGACCATGCTCTTCAAACAGCTAATTTAATAATTAGGCTTAGCCTAATTGAATTTTAGAACTGTACAATACATTTCGCAGCGACGGAAAAAGTCATGATATTGCGCATAAATTCATAATGCGCGCACAAGATACGTACCATTAAAACTTAAGTCCAGCGAAATAAAAAGAACAATTCGATTACAAAATTCGGCTAATGCCAATTTTTTTGTCCTATAGATTTCCAGGAACGTTATTGCAAGGTTCGGCCATGTTGGCTTTGCGAATGGGCATCGTCTTATGAAAAAAACCATCTAACAGCGATCTATGACGACTTTGGAGACTTCAAGGAGGATAAAGATAAGATAAATGGCCAAATTGAAACACCCGTCATGTTTTCAGGAAAACCTCTACCAACCGACCACCATCCGAACGGACGTTTACCAACCGAGAAGTGGATTGCGCACAAAGTGCTTCGTTGTAAAAGAATCTGTGACCGACAGTGCGATCGCGACGGAGATATGCTTCTTTGTTTGGAGCACATCACGGCATTAAGAGCGACATCTACCATCCCTCATGACGGTATCGGATGTCCGCACAGCGGACATGCTGGCTTATGTTGGAAGTGTTGCAAAGTTTTCGGAGTTTATGAAACGCTACCTGGTGATTGTACTATGACAGTCCTTTTAGAAGCAATTTACGCTCGTGATGTCATGCCTTTTCAGCTGTTATTCAAAGCGCAGCTGTATGACCGTGGAATCGCTAAGGATGGCGTTACTCTGGATGTATACTGGTCGCGTTTCAAACAGATCAGGGACGAGCATAAGTACTGCAGATACGAGTGTATGCTCAACAGAGTATACAAAACTACGGCTAACCATTCAGAATTGCGTGTTAATGTCCAGCCGAAAGTAACCGATGGCATCTTTTTGGATAATTTCGATTTCATCCTTAACCTGTCATCAGTTCACTGTAAACAATTCGCCGAGCACCTATTGCTGCACGATGGTTATATCGATCAACGGCATGCCTTCCCAGCCCTGAAATGTCCCTTACGAAATCCAGATTCGCATTGACATGCCTCAAACACTAGTACAGCAGAATGCTTACAGCATCTTATGGGATTGTCAGTTGCTCTTCAACATCAGTTATTGATTCTTTCATTCCTGTCTTCCTCTTTAAGACCAGTGTCTATCATCAAAAAACGGGGAAGGCGGCCGCGCCCGCCTCAAGCGCTGGCCTGTCAGGGCACACCAACTGGTGCGCACACTATTTCGCAGTATTCAAATTCGACGCGCGACCTGTTTGCCACAAGGACATTTCGAAACCACACAAACGGAGGCTGGGACACTTCGGTTTGGGAAATTTTTTTCTGAGACATTTTGACGAAACGTCTGGGTCGCGGACAGTTCTCCACAAAGTCGACACGCTTAATTTTCGGATTTTCCGGTCTTTTTCTTCCGTTTTCTTAGGTCACCTTGGGTTAATAACTTTTTTGGTTTTTAGGTTTATGTTTTCTTGTTTTCTTATTTTTTCGTAGTTTCTTAGGTTTTTTGAGTTTCTTTGGTGTCTTGATTTTCCCACTTCTTTTAGTTTTCGTAAACTTTTTCTTAGGTTTGCATGACTGTTTTAATAAGCTTAATAACAATAATCTGAGGAAGGCAATGTTTCCTCGGCGAAACGTTTTTGCCGCGAACTGTTTCGGCGTCGAAACGGTCTCGCGAAGAAATGTCACGCGACTTGATGTCCTGCCGACTACATAGATGTCCCGCAACGAAACGTCGCGCGGCGAGATGACCTTGCGGCGAAATGTCTGCGACCGAATGTCCTGCCTACTAATCTTCAGCGACATGTCGCCAGGCCGAAAAAGCCCATGCTGTAGCATGAGCCAGAGTCAAGACTGTAGTTGAGAGATTGCAGCATGAAGTAGATATGTTCTGCCTTCAGACAGCTTCGTAGTCAGAAAGTCATTATCTTTTATAAGTTTTTTGCATGTGCTCCTTATTTCGAGGAAAACACTTTCTAGAAAGTAGCAAAATGTGCCGCAAACTGCAAAGTCAACATTGGTTTGCCGACAATAAGCAAACTGCAAAAATGCATGAATTTCATAAAAATCAACTGCAAAAGTAACACTTTGTCAATGCCCGATAATTTTAGTTCCAAATAGCAACGCGCTTGGTTTAAATTTGTAAATCGGCGGTTTACAAAAAATTGTTCAAGCCGTTATGCAACTGTTTCTGCTGCTGCCAATCGTTACATCCTACTCTGAGCATGTACTCTCAGACCGAGAATGATTTACTGTATTGTATCATCATATGGTAAAAATAATCTTGCCAGGTGCCAAAAAAAAACTGTTGGAAACCGTTGCACAAGACATACCGCTCATACTGTGTACTGTCCATATACACACGCAGACACATACGCGATGCAGAAAAGTCAGTGCACAGCTGCTGGTAATTCTGGGGTTGAGCCGGTATTATTTGATCGTAAACATATACGTAAAGTGCCACTCTATTAAAGAACTATTTTGCCGAAGGCACCAAACTTCTTTCTATCGCCTGCATGGCACTGACTGGCGTGCTGTCCAAACGGCAACCATGCTGCTACTGCTGACTGAAAATCTTGTTTTTCAACATCTACATGTATCAGCTATTCAATATCGAAAATTGGCAGTGTAATCAATCAACAATTTTCGGAATGCGGACTAAGCCAGTTAACGTTGCCATCCACGACGTCAGTTTCCAGCGCTGCGTGATTGTGATTATTTTATTTATTTAAAGCCCTTTGGATTTCGATCAGTTGCCCCTGTAATGAAGTAAGGTTTGTACGGTTGTAATCCGGTCAGGTTCCGAAGGCCGTTTTTCCTTAGAACTGCAAGTGAAGTTAATGTACGGTTGTCCGAAATTCCGAATCACACGATTTCCGCGAAATATACTAACGCTGGTCAGTGAAAAATCCAAAAAGTTTAAAACTTACCGTAGGAACGAAGTCATCGTAATGAATCAAGTCTGTAATCACATAAAAAAAGGATGGACAAAATGTATGTAAAAGCATGTAGGATCGCATCATTCTAAGTCACATAATTATCCACATTTATGCAGACAGCGCAGTGCACTGTACGATTAACAGGGAACATTTTGAGGCTATAAATTCAGAAAATCCTCAATTTTTGCAGAAAGTTAGAACAACTATATAAGTCGAATAAAAAAATTATTTCATGTGCCATGGCCAATGGGCGGGGCCAAAACAGAATTTAAAAGTCAATTCTGCACTGTTCTGTAGCCTATAGGCAGTGCCCCACATTATATTGTACTTTACAGTACTATTATAACGTTAGTGAACAATCTTTACCAGTGCAAGGCCAGCTTACTCGTTCCAAATTTTTATCTGCGCTTCACAAGCGGCTGAATTGGGAATGCTCTTTGTGTTTCGAGTGAATCGAGTCTTACGACTTCGACGTAATATTCGAACAATTGCTAACAGAAATCAAACTGAATCGCTTCTACTAAAAAAATGAAGTTCAAACTGCATAATCTCCACAAACGGGAAACAGCTATGACATACCACAAGCGAGCAAACAGATAACAATTTGAAACGAGAAAGCTGGCCTCGTCCTGGTACAGATTGTTCATTGTTCAGTAACGCTTACTCGTATGGTCGTTCAAGTGAAACACCCGAAATATTAAGTTCCCCAAACCAATTTTCTTCCGGTGTTTTTCTTTATCCAATTAAGGAGGATTTACTCTTTACAGAGTACTAGGAATTTTTAAAAAAGCTTGAACCGTTTTCTTGCAATTGCGTCGTAAGAAATCAGTGACGAACGCGCTTTAGCCACGCCACATGAGCCACTGCACTTAGCTCATATAATTGGAGTCACCGCCGTACATGGGCGGCTGTGCCATCGCCGTGTTAGAAGTTGATTTAGAGGAGCTCGAATTCAGTTTAAAGACATCAACTTTGAAGAAATGAGGAAAAAAATTAAATTAAACAAAATCAAGTTGGACTAAATTAACGTCTAACACGGCGATGGCACAGCCGCCTATGTACGGCGGCGGCTACAATTATATGAGCTTAGTGCATTGGCTCATGTGGCGTGGCTAAAGCGCGTTCGTCACTGATTTCTTACGACGCAATTGCAAGAAAACGGTTCAAGCTTTTTTAAAAATTTCTGGTACTCTGTAAAGAGTAAAACATCCTTAATTGGATAAAGAAAAAAACCGGGAGAAAATCGGTTTGGGGAACTTAATATTTCGGGTATTTCACTTGAACGACCATCGCTCATTCACTTATCATAGTGTTTCACTTGAACGACCATACGAGTACTATATTAATCTTGTAAGGTATAATGCGGTGCACTGCCTGTAGGCTACAGCACAGTGTAGAATTAACTTCTAAATTCTGTTTTGGCCACGCCCATTGGCCATGGCACATGAAATAATTTTTTTGTTTAACCTATATAGTTCTAACCTTCTGCAAAAACTGAGGATTATCTGAATTTATAGCCTCAAAATGTTCCCTGGTAAGTTGAGATATCTGGCTATCTAGTGCACTACCTCACATGCGCACGGATGATTGTGTATGGGATTTAATATGCGACCGTTTAGTTCTAAAGTGTTTTTGTTTGTTGACAGAACACAAGTTACTGTATATTTGCCTACGAATCAATGATTTTGACTTGAACACAGAGAAACACCCTTTCCCTTTTGCACCGACAGATCTATAAAAAAACCCACCCATCCACCATCTTGAATACCCAGCGGTTGTTTTGCTAAGTATTACTTTTTTGTGTGGTCTAGCTGTACAGCCCAAGAAAGCGTTCCAAAGGTTGTTAGGAGCGCATAAGCTATAGAGGTAAGTCGTAGCGACCAAATCTGAATGTGCCAATATTGAACCTTTGCTATTTTCTCATCGCCTGCTACGTTAGTTTAGACGGTACAGTATGCCAGTCTGGAAGCTACGCCTGATGTTTGTTATGCTCACTTATGCTTATGCTTAGAATCTCTCTTTCGCTCGTAGTATGAAATAGACGCAAGAAGGAAGACAATTAATTATGATGCACCATATGGACAAGAAAAGGGAGGCAAGGGGCAGTTCACTATCTTTGCCCACTAATTTTTACAAACTTACCTCGGCCAGCGATGTTGACACTTGGTCAGAACACGCGCTACGAGTACCTGTCGTACTGGGACGCGGTACAGAGGACGATCTCTTTTTTCTGAGGCATAGTGCTTACCGGGACCGATCATGCAGCAGTGCCTTACAGTTGCAAGTGCCAAGCCCATGTCAAGAAGCGGAACGGTCAACCCATGAACATAGCAACGAGCAAGTATGGCTTTCCTCGACTGATGAAACAAAGCAAATACGACCTATTCTGACTGATAAAGACAACAAAATATGTCCAATTCCGGCTGGTGAAGAAAAGCAAATACGACGTATCTTGACGGATGAAGAGCTCTATTTACGATATATCAGGGAATATCCCCAAGAGCGAGCAACAACTTCTAAAAGCTGCAGTATACCAGTCTTCAACCATAATGCCTGCAAAAATGTTACAGCGGTGCGGAGCGATGACGCAACCGATTTTACGAGTCGGCAGGCGGGACATCATTCTGATTTACATCAGCAAGCACTATCTGTCAATACCCTGACAACGAACGCAGCAGCCACGAGCCGCGGCGACAGCAGCGCGGCTGATTCCAGTCCCTGTGAGCCGCTTTTTGAAGACGATGACGTCGCTAGCGACAGGGAAACATGGCTGGCTTTGTGCCAAACCGCTGTGACAGTTGTGCAACAACCGAGGACACTTTTTCAAAATGCGTTCAAAAGTATGCATAACATTTTTGCTGCCCTGCCCAGATGGCCTGGAAGTTGTTTCGGTTCGCTGCACGAACCTCCAAGAGATTTCGTTAGCAAGCTATCCCACGGGATAAATCAGCTTGGAAACTGCTCGAACTGGCTGTTAGGGTTCTTTAAAGGCTTTATGTGCAGTATCTTGCACCGGTTAGGTCACTATTTGTGGGGCTTTCCTGATCCATTCTTCGCCACTAGTGGATTCTGGAGATGGTTCCGTTTGCTTATCAGTTTTGGCATTTTTACCATCAGTCTGACAATATTGGATGTGGTATCGGATGTCCTCGTTGTGCTGCAGCTTTGGGCGGACACAAACTGCCATCTCAATTCATCATTGCTTACGTTCATTACTGTAGTACCTCTTTTTCCAGTTATTATCTCCACAGTGATGGAACGGCTTCAGTTGAAAAACAGCTGGGCTGGAGCGTCGGCGCTAAATTGGCGGCTGGCTCGCCAGAAGCTGATGAATCTCGAAGATCCCCTTCTATTATCAAAAGATACGAAGAGAGATAGCAGTGAGTCTTGGACAGAGGTGTCCGATATGGGTAAAAATTGGAGCTGGAGTATGAGAGCACAACTTGAAATTTTCCCGTTTGAGTTTGTTAGCCGGTAAGACAAACTTTAATAAATAGTAGAAAATTCTGTCATACTAAACTTAAATTCGATTAGTTTTGTTGATGTACTTTTAAATATAGTAGCCATTAAATAGAAGGAAATGCGCCACTTTCAGATCCGGCCGCTGTTTTCTTATTCAGACCCGGTCGGACTTCGCTTATACGTTATGTAGATTATCGAGCAGCGTGTGCGTCAGTTACCGTATACCAGACCCTGTGGTGCAATTTTTGCGTCAGTTACCGTATACCAGACCCTGTGGTGCAATTTCGTTTAGCAGCTACAGTAATTTGAATCACATCAACAGCGGTAGTTCTCAAACGATGTAGGTCATAGAAATATAGATTCGCGATGTTTCACAAATGACCCTTTTTTTTGGCATGATAACCAATTTAATCTTCGTAGATGCCGAAAATTTTTTCGAGCTTGGAAATTCAGTGCAACCGATATAAGAAGAAACAGGTATACGAAAGGCAACGACATCGAATTTCAAGATATGCAACTGCAAAGAGCGCAACTGAAGCAAATCAAATATGAATCGAGTATCCAGTTGATCATCTTACTAGTTCTAATCGGTACGGGTGTATTGCCTTTCTCAGCTATACCATGTGTTTCATTGGTCTGCTCCTTCGTATCGGTTTTCAAATATATCCCTCCGTGCGCGCATTTACCAGGAAAATTCGCATTCAACAAGAGTCTGTTGGGCCAGCGCGACTGCTTAAGCGTAACGGAGGTTAATCACATGCTGCGGCCACGAATACTTATCTTACATGGAGCAATGTGTAATTTTCTGTATATCGCCTGCCGTTATCATGTATTCATTTCCCTCATTATTATCAATTGGCACGCCGCGGTCTACACGACACTCTTGCAAGCACTAATTGTTGTTATCTCCATGGTGTGGTCGTTTAGTGGAGTAAAAATTCAATCAAAATATACCATGCGGCGCGTTCGGCCACCCAGTGGCTATAATGAGTCATCTGGCACAGTTTTTATTCGCTGCGCTTGGAAAAGGAAAGTTGGAAGCGCTTGTGCATTTTTCCTACAAATGGCGACCGCTTTAACTTACTTTTTGCTGATACCGCTTACAACAACAATGACGAAACTAGGGTGTTTTGTCGGTACCGCTTTGCAAGCGGTAGCAATTGTGGTCTATCTTCTTGTTCTCCACCTTGGATGGAGACTAAGTATTTCGTCTTACGTAGATACATCCCATAAATGGCTTTTGCACCATTCTTCCTCACTCGTCTATCCTACGTTGTTTGCCAATGCTGCGGTTTCTTGTGTTCTGCTGCCGCTGGTGCAGTTATTGCTGGACAATAAGAATACTGCCAGTTGGCTCGTGCATCGAAACAAATGCCGAAATTGTTTAGGTAAGATTTGCTCTGCCGTGGCTTATAGCTAATTTCATCGTAATGTTATTTCGGTCATTTTTATCTTTAAGTATATGTTTTTATAAATGGGTCACCAATCTGGTTGCCCAGCCGGTTCACAGTTCGGTAATTCCGGGCCTTTCCGGCAGTCTTCAGAATCTATCCTGTTTACAGTTCATACTAAAACTCAGGCGTCAAGTTTTTATATTTTGTTTTCTTAAAACCGATGATTTCTTAAAAACGCATTATGTACGACAGTGGTAAATTTGGTGACCGGTTTATATAAACTTATAGTTTAAGTGGTGAATTTCGTTCTGTGCAGTACTGTGATATCCACACGTGCGCAGTATGGAACAAAGACTGCCACGTCTAACAGGTGTAGCGCTGAAAACTTCAATCAACCGTTGACTTACCGTACTTATGTTCCGGATTTTAATCGTTTTGACTGGATCTTGTTCTTGTGTGTTGTAGCATTTCAAAGTCGATATTGCAAAAAAACACCTTGTTGGATGTGTGATTGGTTGTGGGCCTTAGAAAAGGGGAATGTCAGGCGTTACTCCGGACGTCCAGAACGCGAAGACATTCTATGGAAGGCCCGCTATGGAAGGCCAGATTTTGAGAAGCGTGCCATTGATTGCGGTTGCAGATTATGATCCGCTTCAGGGATATGAAACATCAGAAGCATTTTATCGACTTTTGGCACACTATCACAAGGATGTTCCCGGTGACAAGCTGCTGTGTCGTGCGCATTCTGATCAGTATTACGCAAATTCTGAGGAAGGTGCACCAGACAGCCCGGTAGAGTCACTACGCTTGTTTCACCAAAAAGGACTTGTTCGTTTCTGGGATGACTGGTGCAACACCAGGTTGGAGAGACTTACGGATGACTTATCTGACTGGGATATGCTGAGTGACATTTCGCGAGAAGGAGCTATGACAACCATTATAGCGAACATTTATCATTATGAAGTATTGCCTTTGCAGTTGTGGTTCAGAGCTATCCTGTATGACCAAGGTGTTGAAAGTTCAGAACGGCAAAACACTTGCTGGTCACGGCTCAAGGAGATCAGGGATCAACACAGATCATGCCGATACGAATGTGTTCTCAATCAAAATGTACGAGCAGGAACAGTTGAGCTAATAATCAAGGTTCCCGTCACAGGAGCCAATGCGCCCGCTTACGATACCTGCAATGTCACCATTGAAATGACATCAAGATATGGCAAGGAGTTTGCTGACTATTTCCTGCTTCATAACGGTTATCAGGGCTGCAAAAGTTGGCCGGCTCGTACATGCCCAGGGCTATTCGACTTTGAAGGCCAAGCGGCTGAAAGGATCCACATCAACGCAAGCGATCTTTATTGACATAACCGGAATATACTGTAAATCATAATAATAATATGGATTTAATCATAATGTACTATGAGCAATAATGATTCCTTTTATTGCTAGGTTGTCATCAATATTACAGTGCGGAAAGATTCTGAAAGTATTTTTAACACGGCTGTCAATCGTGTCACACGAAGTAAACACAAAAGTTAATAAGGAAGGAGATTTTTAGCCGGCGTCTTGTGGTGCGCATTTCTCCGTTGCTCTTCGCCACGTAATAGTCGTTATTCGAGCCGCCTATACTCAGTTTCAAAAGTACGGTTTTAGTTGCAAAGAGAATATTCCTCCTACAGCGATATTCGATGTTGGGATATCTTCTACGCTAAAGTATCATATATCCTTAATCTTGGCAATCCTGCTGTTGCTTATACAAATATTAGGGTGTTGCATTATTATTATTGTTATCTGCAGCTTGTCACCACAATTAAATGCAGCCCACCTTCACTGCGTAAGTATCATACAAAGTGACACTTTCAACCTGACATTCTAGGAAATTCATTTTGAAGTAGTTTCCAATCAGCGGAAGCATTGCGGGAATAAGTACAGCAAAAAGTCCAAAACTTCTTGCGATTAATACGCCCCTTGCCGCACTTTTGAACAGTGCTCTTGTACTCTGTAGTCTGCAGTCAGATGTACTCTTTAATGTAAAGCTTGTCGTGCGATCCAGGAGATAACAACGCGTGCGTGCGTGTCAACATCCAAGAGATATCGCTTAATTAGAATTTCAAAGGGCAATGGTATAAACCGTTGTACTCAAGAATCGACGTGGAAGTTGTATGTTACATTACGCACTTGGACCTTCGGCAGCACGGATGCATACCGCCACAAGTTACAACCCGCGTCGATTTCCCGCGCACTCAACACCGACCTTTTTTACTGGGCGCTGAATTTGAAGGAGCATAAAACCCAAACTGGCCAAGAGCAGTTTGTTTTTGAATTTGTCTTTCGCTGTTTGGCATTATTTTTGGTCTGCCTGTTTGAACGAACACGAATTCTGGTAGCGCCTTTACGCGTCCAAGCGTACAACTGTTTTCTAGTAAGAGAATGCACTTTTGAAGGCCTCTGGCATGATCCTGCTGTCACGGTGTATACTGTAACCGCCCATGAGGGCGATCAGCTATGGAGAGCCCCTGTTAATGGATTTTCTACTGGAATATCAGTGTCTCTGATTTTGAATTGACCATTTTTATGTATTTTCTCCCATTTATGCCCTTTTATGAATAAAAGCTAATATTAAGGGACACCCCATGTTTCCCCATATTGTAGATTTATAGGATATAGGTAGCAGTACCTATGACACTGCGTATAACGTCGGCGCCTGTGCCCCACTGCCCGATCTTGTTTATGCTTATGCTTGTTTATGTTTTTGCTTGTTAAATTAGAATTCGTTGGCCGAATTCAGTACAGAGTACTATGGGTGCAGTTGCAAAATTTAATAGTTTCGAACAATTAATCTGTTGAAGCAACAAAAGTAATCTACAGTATAAGAAACTAAGTCAACGTTTAACGTTTGAAAGCCGTGCACTCGGCCGTCACCCGTGTTTTCCTAGCACGCAGCATCGACCTTTCACTTTTCGGAGAAGTCGGTTAAGGGAAGTGGCCCGGTACATGGTGCCAAACTCGTGTACATGCACGAAAACTTTCACTTTCGCGCACTCACAAACACATTTTTGTTTCGGTTTATGCTGTTCTATAGCCAGAAGATTTGTATACACTGGCGTGAAAACCGTTTGTGCGCGCAACATCCGGTTCTGGAGTTATCGCTGTTAGAAAATTCCAAAAAGTTTAAATGCATTCAGGTGTACCAAAAGTTTCATTATGGACCGATCACCCTCAGATTTTGCACGTAAATGCACACAACCACGAAGAACGTTTTTACACCGATCCACTGTTCTAGCATTTTTTTCAAATTTTAAAATGAATTTCAAAAATTTTAAAATTCATTTTAAAATTTGAAAAAAATCATGGAAGTCTGGATCGGTGTAAGAATGATCTTTATGGGCATGCGCATTTACGTGCAAAATTTGACGAAGATCGGTCCATAATTAGACTTTTGGTACACTTGAATGCATTTAAACTTTTTGGAATTTTCTAACAGCCATAACTCCCGAACCGGATGTTGCGCGCACAAACGGTTTTCACGCCAGTGTATACCAATCTTCTGGCTACAAAATATCATAAACCGAAACAAAAATGTGTTTGGGAGTGCGCGAAAGTGAAAGTTTTCGTGCATATACACGAATTTGGTACCATGTACCGGCCCACTTCCCTTAACTCTGCCGAAGAGGAGTTGGCCGACAAAGAGAAATTGCCTCAACTGCAAATGAAAACTGGCCTCCTAACATTGGCGTGCGTGAGTGGTTGTTTGCCCCCAAGAAGGGCCAGCAGTGTCAGTCTGTTTTTACTGCTTAAATTTCGAATCATTTTAAGTAGTTTTACCTGCGCAAGCTCACTGTTACCTGAATTGGCCATTGCCGAATAAATACCTCATCACTGCAAATGCATCAGCAACAGGCGAATTACAACATTTGCCTGTTGATCGGCCAAATCGGTGCTCTGTCGATCGAACTCTCTTAGGCAGCGTTCAAATATTACGTAACGCAATTTTTTCGTTTTTTCACCACCCCCTACCCCTTGTAACAACGCGTAACAAATTTTTGTACCCCCTACAGCCGTACGTAACGGGTTCGGTACCCCCCACCCCCCATAATTCGAAAAAATTTTCCTAAAAATTTTAAAAGAAAAATCACGAACAGTAGCTTTTGCATGAGTTCATCGTCATTTGAGTAGTCATCGTCATTTCACTTTAAATACAGTTCAGTGGGCAAGATACTCATAAGAAAATATTGCTAACATATCGGGGAACGTGTGGGAAGAATACACTTGGTAAATTTTTTTTTTGCGTGTTTTGTACGCTCCAGAAGTAATAAGATAAACATTTCAGCTTTATCTTTAGTGGTGCCCAAATGTAACGTAACATGCTCGTCACCCACCCCCTACCTATGTAACAAAGCCGTAACGCTTCGGCCAGACCACCCCCCCACCCATGGCCGTTACGTAATATTTGAACGCTGCCTTATCCCCTTCTCATACACTTGTGAAAGCAGATAACGCTGTTACGTAACGCCGAAAATCGGCAATTTTGAACCCCTCCTGCCTTTGCGTGACGCATTTGCTAATACCGATATTTGGCCAATAACGTTTTTGGACACCCCTTCTCCCCACCCCGCGTTACGTAATTTATCGATGCCACCTTAAGTAAAGCAAATCACCTAATTGCCCTTGTTTTACAATTTAATGTTAGTATGTTACGGTTGCTCCAGCTTTTAGATTTTGTTAACTTACCATCAGAAATTATGTTCGCTCAACCAGAAAAATATCCTTGGTTTGGAAAAATAGTCCCCGGTATTTTGCATTTTTGGAATGTGGTGGATGGAAAATGGCGTACAATAACTGCTCCCTCCGTCGGACGTACTAATCAAGATCTAGTTGTAGTAAAGCACAAATGTATATATTTTCACATCATTTGTAATGAACACAGCCACAATTTTCTGTTTTTGGAAGTGGACGCCTTTACTTGAACGACATGATCCGAGACCGAAATAGGGATATATATAACCGCAGTGGCTAAGTGTGGCGAGCACATATTTTACTTTCAAAATTACCAGAACCGATTGTATCGATTCGATGCGGCTACGAACGAATGGCTGTGTTTACCATCGTATTCTTGGCCAGGAGGACGATGGGGCTTTGCAATAGCCGTGATAAACGGATACCTGTACCTCTTGCGCGGGAAGTGACGATGCCTGGCTATAGGGAGCGTGATCCAGCATCGGACTGCATGCGTCTGAACGTTGAGGCTGCTGCTCCGGCATGGGAGAAGGTGCAGCCGCTCCTGCGATCGCGGACCGAGATATGACCACGCCGCTTGGGTTGTCCAGGACCGAATTTACGTCTGCGGCGGCAGACATGCCGCAGAAGAGCCCGCGCATACAATAGAGTTTTACGATATGAAAACCGAAGCAGGATGGTCCACCGTTAACTTGTTAGAAGAAGATGGTCAACTGTTTTCGAATTTTGTCGCAAATTGCAGTCCAGATTGTGCCTTACTATCGGCACTGACAGTTGATGTCGATCTGACGGACATTTCTGGTTGAACAAAGTTTTTTCTATGCACTTTACCGGAAAAGCTGACGGAAAATCTGTTCAACAATCTAGCCTTTTCAAAAGTGTAGAAACAGCAATGGGAAACTGATAAATGCTTGTCATGTTCTCTTGGTCTCAGACATTCACCTACTGTTGTTACTTGCTAGCTAATTCAAAATGGTCAACGTACGGTATTAAAATCTGTAAAAGAAGAAGCACCGAAGTCAGTATGTACAAACAAATCTTCCGACCAATAGCTGCTTAAGTTCGGCTCTTAAAAGGTCGTCGTATACATGCACTGTAGCTTAGTTTTCTTCTATAGCCATGAAGGTTTTATCGTTTTCCTGGTCGTCCTGATAATCACTACTTCGGCAGGTAACCTTTCACAATTTATTAGAATATATATTCGTGTCTTGCCGTCCTCTCGCTTGTTTTCCTTATTATCGCCGTTATCGCCATCCTGTCGATAACAAGCGACAGGACGGCAAGACACGAATATATATTCTAATAAATTGTGAAAGGTTACCTGCCGAAGTAGTGATTACCAGAACGACCAGGAAAACGATAAAACCTTCATGGCTATAGAAAATGGTAGTGGGTGCAGTTAAACATTCATGCCAGGGAACACGCAGAAAAAAAGGAATAAAGCCGCGCGGTGTAAACGGCAGTCCGAGGATTTGTGCTAAACTTCGACATGCTCATTACTTTTATCAATTCATCATTTTTATTCATTTTTATATTCATTTCTTTATTAGCACACCTGTTGTCTGTTGGTTTTAACTTTTATCACCTGTTGTGCAGCAGCTTTGCGTGGATATGAGCCTATCCGACTGATGCCGCTAGAAAGCTCCAGAGCGCAGAGGACCGTCTTTGTCGATTGATTTCGGGGTGTCAACACTACGTTTGGGCACTACCAGTGAACGGATAAAGTAGCGCTGCTAGCCGCCTTGAACCGGGACTCTGGTGCGTGACTTAAC